GAACTCCCGGGGGGCCTAGAGGGGGGGAGGGAAGAACATATAACTCCGGAACTCAGGGTTGAACCCTGGGTTCGAACTTCTCGAATCCAGGTTGAACCTGGAGTTTGAACTCTATGTTCAAACTCTGGGTTCGGGAACTCTATGTTCGAACCCGGGGTTCGGGAACTCTATGTTCGAACCCTGGGTTTGGAAACTCTATGTTCGAACCCGGGGTTTGGAGAACTCCACGTTCGAACCCCGGGTTCGGGAACTCTCTCTTTCCCAGAGAGTCCGAACCCTGGGTTCGAAACTCTATGTCGAACCTGGGGTTTGGAGAACTCTATACCGGAACCCCGGGTTCCAGAACCCCTCTCCGTCCCCCAGGGAAGTTCGAACCCTGGGTTTGGGAACTCTATGTTGGAACCCGAGGTTTGGGGAACTCTATGTTGGAACCTCGGGTTCTGGAATTCGTTCCTCCCGGGGCGTTCGAACCCTGGGTTTGGAAACTCCACATTTGGGAAGGCTGCGCCCCTCCAACCCCTCCGCTGTTTTTACCAATGACCAGTTCCTGCCACAAAAGAAGAAGAAGCCACACAAAACCGCTTTATGGGGATTTTTGCGAAGAAATCAAAAAAGAAAAAGATTGTCAATGACGAAGAGTCTTTCTTCTCAGGGGGCTTCAGAAAGGACATAAAGTGTCTGCTAAAGACGCGAACAAATGAACCGCCCAACCCCGGATTCAAGACCTTCCCCCCAGAGTTCGAACGGAGTTCGAACAGAACACCAACAATCACCAAACAAAAGGAGAAGAAGCCACACAGAATCGCTTTGGGAGGTTTTGCGAATAAAATTACTGAGAGCACACTACAATGACAGAAACCACAAACTCAACCGCAAGCACAAGTAAAAGAGAAGAAGACACACGAAATCGCAATTGGGGTTTTTGCGAAAAAAATAAAACGAGAGAACAAGAAGCAATGATACAAGAGTTCGAACTCTGGATTCGGAAACTCCAAACTCTTCGCCTTTCAAAGTTCAACTCCAGGTTCAACTCCAGTTTAAGAAGTTCGGAGTTGAGTTCAACTGGAGTTCAACTCAAAGTTCGAACCCAGGGGAAACTTCGATGTTCGAACTCTGGGTTCGAGGCTCCGAACTCTTAGTTCGGAGTTCCAGAACCCTGGGTTCGGAACTCTAAGTTCCAAACCTTGGATTCGAACACTCCCCCAAAAATCTATGTTGGATGGATGCAAAGTCAGCCGCTAAGACAGGTAGAGATCGCCAAGATGGATATTGACGTGCAGGTCACCGCTTCTACGGTATCGCCGCACGGTTGTGGCGGCTGTGGCAATGGAAGACACCATTCGGCGGTGGGAGTTAACCGATGGACAGGTGAAGGAGCAAGCGGCGAAGACCGGCAGGCGGCGAAGTCTTAGGAGCACACACTCTTCCGAACGTGCACACCATAGTCAGATAGTCAGATTTGAGCACTGATTCTTTTCTCTAGCTACCAACCAGTGCGCATTCGACAGGTCCGCCTGAATAGAGAGGGAAGGCTGTGCAGCTGATGTGTAGCCATGTTCGCTCTTTGCTTCGTTTCACCGCTGTTTTCTTAATGTTTCTGTTGGTTTAATCGTAGTTTATTGGGACCGACCGGTACTGTCGTGGCCAACGAGGCCCGCCGACGCCAAAAAAAGCCAACGTGTTGGTTGGAACGCCCTGTTTGATGAGTCTATTATCCATGTCACTCATCAGGATTGAAAGAACCATGATAAAGAAATATGGGCTGAAAAGGACAACCTTGTCTGATTCTTGCTGAATCTTACCCGTACATTCCGCGCCCTGCCAAAACGCAATTCGAAAGACCGGGCACCGCAATCTTGCTCGCTTCCATTTCTTGCAACAAGTTTTATTGTGAGGTTGCCATGAAGATCTTCGTTTCACAACTCTCGGAGTTTGTTCTTCGCTGCTTTGTTTGCCGTGGAGAGCCAGTGACGCTGACGTGCTAAAAATGCAAAGTAGATGAGCAGACATTGGTGTTCATCTCTGCAACTATGTTGCATTGCTTCCCAAGAGTTGCTTCTTGGTTGTTCTGTCAACAAGCGAAACTTGGGCTTGTGTGTGCGTGGTATGGACTAACTGGTGTTGATCTTGATCCCCATAGTGTTTAAAAGCTTCGCTCGGGTTTCATGCGCCACAATCATTATTTGAAGCCCTGCTCACAAATCATAAATCCAATTTGCAAAAGTTAGAATTGGATGGTCAATTACGTGGCCAAAAAGCATTGTGCAAAATGTTCAGGACTGCCAACAATCCGTTGGTTACTGGCAACCGCCAAGAGTCAAGCATTGGTGCAAACCATTCGAATCCAGAGCCAAAGTGTGTGGTAAGAAATATCCACAGTTGCAGCTCATACATGATTGTGATGGTTGAGGCACCGATACGGTGCAGTTTCGAACTGCCGGCCCTGTCGTTAAAGTAAAGAAACAACGCTTACAGTCGAGAAACCATATCCTGAAGTGGAGAGACAGCTTTTTAATAGCATTAGTCTTTTGTACATTGTGACACACAGTTTTGCAAACCCACAAACATTCTTTTCAAGATTGAAACAATCTGTGGTTGTTGTAGAAATGTTTTCTGTTTGTTTGGAATCTTGATTGTTCACGAAGACATGTTTGCCAACAAGGGTAGGAGTCAGCGAACTAATCTCTCTAGACTTGTTGCTCCTGGCAGTTTTGTGATTCCCAGAGAATTGGTTGACCTGCCCCAGTCCTTGCTGCGAAGCTATTTCTCGGAAAAGCGAGCCAATGTGAGAGCTTAGCAAGGAGTGCATTCACTGTACATTGTCATCGGGACATCCAGCACAAGTAAAACGACAGGACTAGATGCGTTGGCGAGCGTAGCCAAGCTCAAGTCACAGGTGAGACCTGCTTCCGAAGACCCATGCATTTGTGGATCCAAACTCTAATGCCACTTTGGTTCGCGCAACGGTGGGGCGCTTGGCAACTACATTAAACCTTGGCTCAAGCTGCGGGCTCGGATGGAAGAAGATCAAGCAGCTGTCTTTAGCATCGATATTGAACTTCAGGTTCAGTCGTAGGCACGATCTTGGTTTGTCAGCCTTGTAAACTATGCTTCAAACGGAATGTCAAGCACTGGCAGTGGACACCATGCGTGAAAAGCATTGGAAGCGCTCTCCAGCTGATGGTGCATTTCCATCGCTGTGCATTGGTGTCGTTCGTTGGCATGTTGACAACAGGCTGGTTTGCTCAGCACAGGCAGTTGCCATAACTTCACAATAACGAAATTGTGTTCGCAATCGATTTTTCGCATTCGTTGTTAAAGATTTGCAAGAACAGTGTTGTTTCAAATCATCTGACGATCTGCAGCACAGTTTAGGCATAAGTACTTTCATCATCAGGGAGTTTTGCTGAGAAACCCTGGATGTGGTGGCGATTCCGAAAAGGACAGTTGGTTTGGGTTAAGTCTTGATGTTGCCCAATTCATGTTCGGCTGGTTTCCTGCATGTGCACCATGACATAGCATTGTGGAAGGTCTCTTTTTCTTGCCGCAGCTCCAAAAGGGCTTGCTGACTTCTGCACCAGCATTGACGGCGAAGAGCTTCAGAATGTTCCTAGGGTCCATGCCAAACCTGACAAACGACTACAAGCTTGCAGCTTCTCCCAAGCTCAGTTCAATCTTTCTTTTTTGGACTGTTATCACTCTTGTGTCAATTGATTGACTACCGCACGTTGTGCCCTTGGAGTCAGGAAGTGGAGGCAGACCACAACTTGGTTTCTCATCACACAGAGCCCAGATCGACACGGGATCTTGTAGCAATCATGGTTGTCGGCCAATCTCGGCGGATGCTGGAGGACATTGAGAGAACCCGGTTGGCATTCGAGCTAAGCCCTCGAATTCGGCAGCATTTGAGGAGCAGGAATGTTTCCACATCTTTCAAATCGCATGTGCTGCACGCCTTGGAGCCCCTGCGACGTGCTGGCCTTGTGCCCGAGTATCTGTTGTGTATTGACATGGGAAGTATAGAGAAAAGCCAGCTTCCTCCAGAAGTTGTGCAGTCGTGGACATTTCGAGCAGATAGCCAGGTCAAAAGGATCACGACCTGCCTCCGGCGTGTCCTGGAGAGAGAATCGAAGAAGAACATATCTTACAGCTTCTTCGTGCGTCTGAGACCGGACTTCCTTCTGCTTTCCGACCTACCAGACCCGCGAGACCCGCGACGTGGCCCTGGCTGCATGCTGACGAGGCTTCGCTCGGCCGTGAACATTCGTGGACTCACGAACGAACACCTTTCCTTTTGCTACTGCCAAAAGCACTGCTGCTCTGAGGTTTTACACGGAGATGCGCCTGGATATATCGTAGACGACATGCTGGCCCTTTCAGCCCGCGATCTTTTTTTGTTGCTTTGGCTAGGAAACACAACGCGCGCGGGGCCACCAAAGCTGTGGCCTCGATTCATAACTCCCATGGCAGAAACGGACTTCACAACCAGCTTGCTTCAGAAAGGTATACCAGTGTGTCCATTGGCAGTTCGGGGTTTGCCACTTGGAAGTTTTGGCTCTGTGCACGCAACTGAAGCTTCCAGATGTGGGTATTTGGAAGATGCCCCTGCCCTCGCGCAGACAGCTTGTGGCCAGAACCTGACTGAAGTTGAGGATGTACCACTGCTGACACCGCTTGCGCTGCCGTAAGAAAATGGAATGCGTATCCTGACAAGCTCTCGGCTTGTAATTGCCGTGACAAGGGATGTGAGGCGCCGTGCACGACGGAAACCGTTTCGCTCGAGCTTAAACGAGCTCGACCAAAGCTAATCATGCTACTGTGTGCATGTGACAGTGCTGATGGCATCGGTGGGCTCAAGTGGCTTTGCCAACTTGTGGGCCACCCTGGCAGTTATATGCGCTTGGGGGAGACACGCTGTTCGAAGCCCAGAGTCATTTTCGCAAGTGGTTTTGAAGACGGCGCACTTGTTCAGGTTTTGCCCATGACCTTCGGAGCTGTGCATGGCCCGTACTCAGACGCGCCCCAGCTGCGCAACCTGTAGTGATTCCTCGTGTCCAGAATCCAGAAGCATTTAGAAGACTGGGATAGTCGCTGGGCTTCCTTCAGCGGAGCGGCTTGTTTGTTCCTGGGTAATTATTGCGGGGGTTGAGGTGCACACCGTCTGCTCGGAAGCGGCCGGCTGCTAAAGAGGTTGCAGAAGTCTCAGTTTTGACGATGTGAGATTTGCACGATGGAGATGCCAGCTGGCCAGCTGGCTGCTAGCTATTCAGCTATTCAGGCCAAGCCACACAGGGTGCGTGGTCAGCGCCTTAGCTGTGATCCCTGGCCTGGTTCATGCACGTGACCTACGGTGTCTCATGCTTCAAGATATGCTTACTTAGAGCGGACTTTCTGGCTCAAGCTACCGCAGTCTTTGTGTTTCTGTGATACCAGTGCTGCCATGCGCTCAGATAACTGCCAAGTCTGAGCAGGGGTGGTGTTGCCTCCCAGCTTCTGAAGGTTAGAAGAGATGGCGCTCGCAGCCTTTCGTGGAGTTGCGCTGTGGGCTCAGTGCAGCGGAAGGTGCAGCAAGTCATCAGGGACCAGCCGAGTTTTTGGGAAAGTCGTACAGGCTCGGTGCTGGAAGGTCCACCAGATTGCGAGAGCCCCAACGGTTGCGTTGCGTGTTGGAAGGCCGACAAACCTCCTATCATCCCGAAGCCTCTCTGGCTAGGCTGGCACGCCCTCTGGCACTGCCGGCAACGAAACTGCCAGCAACGTTTGCACGACTGCCCATGCAGGCAGAGCTGCTTGTTGCTTCCGTGGTCTTGCAAGACATGTGTTTGTGACAGCGTGCAAAGGCTTCGGCAACGCGGTCCTATATCACAGTTGCGGGCCCCAGCAATGAGCAACAGCCCTTGGAAATATTTTGCGCAGTCCTGTTTCTCCTCCAGGTGCAGAAGTACTCCAGGGACGATGTGTTGAGCCAGCTTGATGAGTGCCCTCAATAGCCAACTTGTACAAAGATCCGGAATGGTCAGGTGTCATTTGTGCACTAAGTTTTCGCAAAAACTGTTCCGCCAGGTATCATGCCACGGTCCAAAGCTCGGTCTTGGCCAACTTTGCTCAGCCGAACAGAGTGCATCGTCTGCACGGGATTCTGGCCTGTCAGCAAGGTCATGAGCACCAACTGGGCTGACTACCTGATCCTGGTCTACAGCGTCCCTTTCTGGGAGGCTGCGACAGAATTGCTACATTGCTACATGTTTGGGTTTCATTCGGTCGGTAAGCTCAACTGCGACGCATCGTTCTGCAGGCAGAGCTGGAGACTCCTGGACCGGATACATCTTTGCAACGTCAGGGTTGAAGGCAATGCATCGGTTGCCTGTGTGCCCAACCAAGGAAGCTGACTTCGGTCGTCCAGCCGTACCTTCATGAGCCCGAAGTAGGCTCGCAAGAAGCTCTAGGACTCTAGAACTTGTCAACTCTGGATCTAATGTGCATCAGGAGAGAAGTTCAAGACGGTCCAGGAGATGTTCCTCTGCTCAGATTGCAACAGACTGGTGGAGGGCCGGTAGCATGTATGGATCTTCGCAGCTTAGGATGGATGTGTTCTACCAGTGCGAGGACGGAGATCCTGAAGATTGCCTTTTCTGGTGTCCGTGTTCTTCGAGACATGTTACAGATCATGTTTGGATGTGCAAGAGCACAGGACGTTCGTGACCACTTGAATGAGTTGGCCGAATTGGCGACACGTGCTTCGGGCTTCATGGGAACTGGATTTGCTGCCGAGGTGGCAAATTGGCACTGAAAAGCGGCACCGAGCTTTCGTCCGTTTCTGGCTGGCAGGAGAAAGTCGAGAACATGGACGAGCATGTGCTTTGGCTATGCTTTAACTTCTGCACGATGGCAAGAGTTAGGCATATTGCTTTCAAGACGTGGGCCTGTGTATCAGGAGGCTCACTCGACATTGAGACAGGGGCATGAACAGGACGCCATAGACCAGTAAATCGCCATGAGTGGCAGACTCGCACGATCCAGTGAAGCTGATCATGGGCACATCGCCATGCTCTCGGAGAAGTTTGTAAGCTTCTCAAGTCCACTTGTAGAATCGGCCACATAAGCCTTGCTCTTTCGGCAGATTTGTTGTCTTCAGCAAGACCTGTAGTGTAAATCAGCTTCCCGCCAGATCAAGGCCAAGCAGGCGTCTGAAGTGTACGACAAGACTCCTGGCGCGAAGCATGCTCTAGCGGAGTCGAGAGGTTTCAGCTGGTGCCAGCTGCTGGGCCCCATTTGCTGCTCCAGCTTCCACTTCCTGATGCCAAGGATGTTGGAGAAGCATCCCGACTTCAAGCCGAAAATCGAGCAGACTGTAGGACACGGTCTGGCCATCCTTCGCCGACGGCCAAGGGGAGAAGAGGGGACACGAAGTGTGAGGGTAAGTTCATCATTAACAGCTCAGTATCTGCCAGGTCAGAAGCACAAGTTCAAGTTTGGCAGCATGCACCGCTACTTCTACTGAGTGGCCAGGGATGTGAAGGAGAGCGCATCGACCCACAACTCACACAGACTTTATGAACATTTGCGCAGTACGTACTACGGGAGTCGCGATGAAGCTTATGCACTAGTACTGGGCTTCAGGGATTGCTCTTTACTTTACTCTTTTTAAGAGGTGTTGGAGGCCGTCTCTATTGCTGCTGGCAGCACCTTCCGGAAGCGTTTCTTCTGCCCTTGACGCCAGGAGTCAGAAGCGTTTTGATTTGTGGTGCTGCAAAGTGCCACATGCCAGGATGATTTGTTCAGGTATCGTCGCTTGGAGAGTGCACCCCTATCACTTGGAGAAAGCGACGCCGAAAAAGTTGTTGGCACAGCGTCGACGCATGTTCCTAGTCCGGCAGCGCCTTCGGCTTGCTGAGGCACTCCCACCAGGGCCTCACCGTCGGGCCCGGCATCTAAGAGGCCTTCACCTCTGGTATTCGCCGACGCGAAGAGCAAGTGCATAGCTGTCCTTGATCATCTACAGCATCTGGATCGTCCAGATCGCCAAGAGGACTATAGCTTGTAGCTTGTAAGACATCGGAGCTAATGCATGAACGAAGAGTCGGGACATTTCGCCAGGCTCAGAGCCGACGAAACTAGTCAAGGCTGGACCGTGGCGGAGCGACTCTTCAAAGCATAGATTATTTTTTATCTTCATGTTCAGCAAGGGAAGAGCTGACTTAGTTCTGTTGCCCGGGAAGAGATGCTCTAACTCTTCAGCAAGGTATGGTTTCCCGCATCGAACCACAACACACTTGAGGCAAGATGACATGCGTGTAGCATATAGCGCAGTTGTCCGGTTTCCTGAGCATGCAGACATTTATAGGTGTTTCCAGATTCAACCCTTCTATGAGAACATACATTGGCTGTTTCATGTGGTATTGCAAAAGGCAAGACCTTTTCGTGGCACTACTCATGGGCATGCAGCGTTCGTTTGTTCTCTTCTTTCTCCGAAACGTTATGAACCACAGGTGTGCTCTTACCTCTCACGAAAACAGGCAGGGCCTATGTTGTTCGTTATTTTTCTTCTGTAGGAACCCTTTACCACTCGCCACGCACTCGGCGTGTGGATGCCCGCTTGTTGTTGTTTGTTGGATGAAGGGCGCAGTCAGAATTTTATCGTTTCGCACTCTAGTGCAAACATAATGTCGGTGATCTTGCCGGTGTTTCGCACATGCCGCAACTTTACAACTGAAGCAGATGTAAGTAGAGGTGAACACCGAAAGCACGTTTTTTTTCGATGTTGTTCTCGACTCTTCAAGCTGACGTCCGTACCTGCCGTCGCAACGGCGTGGATTCTGGGGGGGGGGGGGTGTGTGCTACACACCTGTACTTTTACATATGCATATACACCTACCTGTAACCATTCACGTGCATGCATACATGTGTATATATGTATACACATGCATATTTGCAGATATCATGAACAGATGCCTGAGCGTATGCATAGATGCAGAGGCAACTGTTCACATATAGCTACAGTACGCGTGGATAAAGAGGTTTGGTGGTGAGAATATAGGATCTGCAAGTCGGAAGCTCTTCTTGCCTGTCGAGGTGTCGAGGTGCAGGGATGCGCTTGGTGACTCAATCCCCATAGGAGCCGATTTAACTCTGATATTGGGCGTCGGACAATCCTGCTACACTTTCCGGCTTTTTCCGTTTTGTTTTCTTCCAAAGCAAGAAGGCTATATCTGCATGGCTTCTGCCCGTCAGCTGCTCGTTTTTGCCCAGTCAACAGACTGTGTTTTGTCTGGCGTGGAAAGGGCTTAGATTGGGAGCTTGAAACCATCAAATCACCAGCAAGCGAATGTTGCGGACGCGGAGTTCGAGAACCGTGAGGCTGAGGAAGCCAAAAATGGCTTTGTATGTGTGTGACGGTCGGGGCGGGAGCTATGCCGCTATGCGGCCAAGAGATTTACAGAAAGGTGTGAAGGAATCAGACTGGAAGTGACGCAGAACACCTTCCTAATCTCAAGAAGGTATGCGGCTTCGATTACCAGAGTCAGCCGAACATCTGTCTGAATACTCTTCTGGATGTTGGGCATCTGCCTGCATCACATGCTACAATGCTTGATGTGTTTGTGTGTGTGTGCACGTGCATGTGCGGGTGTGCGAGTGACCCGATATGTCTGTAATATTGGCCTGACCGTCTGTGGGTGTTCCAGAAATCTGCGAACCTGGAATATAGGTTATGAAACCTGTATACAGATTTCTTGCCGCTGCTAAAGCTGTACCATTTTTGTTGGAAATGCTCCCTTCGCCTAGGGAAACAACCATTGTGGAGCATTTCATATCTGCATTTGGATTTATTTAGATGTTTTTTGGCAATGTGCATTTTATTGAGGTTTCTGCACTCGCGCGTTTCTGTGTCGGGGGTACAGGGTTGCAGCACTGTTTCGGGTTGTGGGTTTCGACTTTCGGGGGCGTTTTTTTGAGGGTGTAGCTTTTGGCTTCTTAGCTTTTGAGAGCGCAAGTCTCGGGTTTGGGGTGTCTACAAGATGTCCGGGCTTGCGCTATCTGGAGTTTGGCTTATCCGGGTACAAGAGCTTCAAGCATTAAAGGTTCTAGCGCTTGCCTTGTTTCGGGGTTCGGTGCTGTAGTTGTGTAGCCGCTTCAACGCTTCTCCGTCCGTAACATGTTCTGTTCTTTGACTGCAGACGCTAGGGCAGGTAAGGCAAGGCGTGGGAGTTGCGAGGTTTCGAGATTTAGGGAGGACCGAAATCCAAATCAGACAAGCCACATGTTGAGGTCTCAAGGCTTGCAAAGTTTGGGCTCGGGTTCCGGCTTGCAGAGTGCGGGTTTGGATTCGTGTGTTTGGGCTTGCAGAGCTTGAATTAGGGTGGAGGATGTTGGGCTTGGAGAGTGTGGGTTGGGATTGAGGCCTTTGCTAAGCTTGAGGTTTAGGGTTGAGGTTGTGCTGGTAGTCAAATCGTAGTGACCCCCCAATCCCCCCACCCACCCCAGAGTCAGAACACGAAAGAGATATAAACACCACAGAAACACAGCACGGTTATGGCTTCGCTAGCACTAATATGGTGGCTGGAACTCTAATGAACTCTCCGAGTGGATATTGCTCGACTGATCGAGGTAGGGAGCAAGGGGGTGAGCATAAGCAGAGAGAGTGTACATGAAAAGCGGGGTCTTCACTGTCTACTTGCTTTGTATGTACCCGTATACCATAAGATGAGTACATTGCACCTCGCGTTCCTGCCCCTTGCAACACTGCCAGTTCAGTTTCTGGGTCAGGTGTCTTGGTGTCGAGCGGCCATGTGTGGATTTGCGTGTGCAGGCCGAGCTTCCAAACGATCGTACCGCGAGGCATGGCTGGGAGAGCTGCCGTCGATGAGTCCGATATTACGGAAAGCGCCAGTTTGAAGCATGTTAAGAGCAGCTGTAAGATTAACATCAGCAGCCACAAAGACATCAACTGGCAACGTCAGGCCATGTCTCGTGGCTCGGGCCTCAGACTTGTCTTCTGCTTTTGGAACAGAGCTTTGGTGGTCCGTTTGATTCAGAAGTTTGGATATTGGGCTCGTGCAGTGGTCGTGTGCTTTTGCATGCTTTTGCTGCCTAAACCCATCCTTGCGCCGGTGTTTTGCAGCTAGGAGTCGCAGACAGCAGTTGCAGGTCCCCAGGATTCAGCATCAAATTCTCCCAGCGAGGCCCGTGCCGTCGACACCCGATCGAGACGTTCTGCTGTTATGTGCCATTCTGTGAGATGTTGCTGACGACTCTGCTTCTGCTATGTTGCCTGGCTCGAAGTTGAGAGTAGGCGAGCTGTCGGGCTGCCGCATGTCGAAGTTTTCTCGATGTCGCTGGAGCCCTCATTGCCATGCCAGCCGCAGAGGCCAAGCCAGGGCCAGGGGGTTTCTGCACGCAGTGGCACCCGGCCACCACGCCATGGGGAGTGGGTGAAGATCCCTGGCGAAACACACAAAGAACAGGAGAGCTGCCAACCCTCCTCCGGTCTCCGGTCCAGCCTAGGAGTGTCAGCATCTTCGGCAGCCTGGCGGTGTGCGCTGGCGCTTACATGTACACGAGGTCAAGAAGAGCTGGGACCAGGACCAGGATGGTCATGTAGGCCCCAGCCCCGACTCCCTGTTCAGAACATAGTTCTGCTCTCCAAGACGCAGACACCCTGACTTCTTCCATACGGGTGTGCTTGCAGTAGAGGCAGTCCGCTGCATCCACCGATGTCGGATGCAGCCACGTGTTGCCACATGTCTTTCCGTCTGTCGGCTGCATGCCTGCCCACGTGCCTGCCTCTTTCCCCATGTTTGTCTCTCGGGGAAAAATGGATCGCAGGCTTGTTTTTCAATACCGGATCCATTTTTGAGGCCTCGGGCTCGCTCGCTTGCCAGCACGGTTTCTCCCCATAATCATTAGGTTGTATATAGAAGTACAGGAAGTGTTGAAGCCGCCCGAATGATAGTTTATTCGGCCAGAGGACTCGTGCAGGAGTCTGCAGTGCGTAAGACCGTGTGTCCCCTCAGCACATGGAGGGTGACGTACATATACATATACACACGTCTGTTCCATCTGGTCGATCACTTTCTCTCTCTGTCTTTACGCTTACGCATACAGCCATGAATTTGCGACAGTTAATGTGGCGAAGCTAACCTCCATTTGTAAGCATCAATGTATAGGCGATGAGCAAATCAGTTTGAACTGAAACCGCCATGAAGGTGATGTCTAGACTTGAAGCAAACTGTGATGCAAGAGGTTTGAGCAAAAAGCTGCGTATTGTATGATACGTGATACGCCTGTTTTATGCACGTGCAGAGGCACGTATGTATGTATGTATGTACGTATGCATGTATGTATGTGCTATGTACGTATGTAGGCATGTATGCATGCATGCATGCATGCATGCATGCATGCATGCATGCACGGATGCATGTGACAGTACAGATAAGCCCGCAAGTCCAGTATTTACACTGCTTCCCTTTACTTGTATTGCACTCGATATACAGATTGACCGCATGGGCATATGCACATATGTACATATGTATTTGTGTTTTCTTCTTCCTTTGTGGGAGGAAGAAAACTTACATGCACATTATAATGCACACATACATACCTGCATCCGCAAGTACGCATGCATGCATGCATACATACATACAGTCGTATAGACAGACAGACGGACGGACGGACAGACGGACAGACAGATCTTTGTAACTTGTCTCACACAGACCAGATATGGACACCAGGCGGGGCGAATGCTCACTGAGGGGGAGGGCCTTAACCCTCTTCCCTAAACGCCGTGCAAGCAAGCAAGCCAGCCAGCCAGCCACGCAGGCAGGAAGACAGACAGACAGACAGACAGACAGACAGACAGACAGACAGACAAGCACGAATGCATACACTTGCACATGCATGCATACAACATTACTCCCAGTCAACTGTGTTGCTGGTACCATCTGACACCATTTACAGAAACTGCTGTCATATTCAGGCATACCTACGTGCATACATCGCTGCAAATGCAGTACTGGTCCGAAACATGGGAGATCAGGGGCTGACATTTGAAACGTGAGTCATTGCAAACCCTACACCCTTTCAGGAGACCCTCCTCCCTGACCAGCAAACGGTGGGGCTTCGGCCGTGGACAGGCAAGGAGAGCACAGGTACAGGAGCCGCCGGAAGAGAAGGAGAAGATGCAGGTAAAGGAGGGCAGCATCTATGCGCTCCTCCTGGTATCCTGCTTCAGCTTGCTAGGCCCGTCTGCAAAGCATCTGTCCGCCTTCGAATGAATTTGTGACTTTGGTCGGCAGGTTTCACGATGCCATCACCAGCACTTCCAGAAATCAGGAATCGCTTCGTGCTGCCCGACTGGGAGACAGGGCTGGTTGCCTCTTCAATGCCGCCTGGCAGACTGCTTCAGGTTGAGTTGCTGAAGCGCAGCTTCTGTCAGTGTGCGCCCGACAGGTCTTTGGGAATGCTAGCTGCGGTGTGGTTCTGGCCGACCCGGAGTGATGCCTGGGGCCGCATCAAAGTTCTGAAATGGTCCATGTTCGTCACAGCCCTCTTGTTTTTCGTTCAGGCTTGGTTTCTTGGAAAGGAGTGGTTCCGTGGCTTCCTCTTCATGCGTCTGGTGACAGGCTGTTTTGCGGGCTGCAATCCCATATTCAAAGCGTACCTGGCGGATGTTGTTCCTGCCTCTAAGCTTGCGCGGTTTATGGTCTGGCGCGAGGCCTCGGCCACTTTCGCATTTATCGTGGGACCTTTTCTCGGCGGTCAGATGACTGCAAAATTTGGCATAGCTGGACCCTTTCTTGCAACCTTTGTGGCACATCTGCTCGGTGCCGGGCTTTGCTGGACATGCGTCGAAGAGTCTCCGGTGCGCACCTCTGACGTCGACGAGTCCATGCAGTCCGACGACTCGGCCAAGAAATGGCCACTGCGGGTGACCCAGGTCTTTGTCATGTCCTTTTTCTACGTGGTGAGCCAGACCTGCTTCTCATTCTTTACGCCGCTTCTGCTCCATGACAGATTTGGCTTCGAGGCCCGGGATATCGGAGTCTTCCTGACCTCGGTCGCAGGTTTTGTCCTCTTCTGTCAGCTCTTCCTCTACAAGGCACTCTTTAGAAAGCTCGGTCTGATCTGGACAGGAGCTTTGGGTGCACTGGGCATTTTACTAGGCCTCCTCTTCATGGGCCTAGGGAGTCTTCAAGGGGGCCCCTTAAAGTTGATGATCGGTGGAGCCTGCTATGCCTTTGGCTCGGCCACCTTTCCAACAACCGTGCCCACGCTTTTGGCCAAGTATGTGAGCAAAGAGCAACGCGGTAAGGTCCTGGGGAGGGACTCGCTCATTAACAACGTCGGCAGAGTTGTCACGCCGCTGTGCCTGGCATCCCTTTACGGCGTGAATCCCTTTCTGTGCTTCGGTGCCGGATCTTGCGCATCATTCGTCGTAGTCTTTATGCTTCTCAACAACCGAACGGAGATGGAGAAGTAGTTCCGAAAGCAAAGATGCCACGGGATGTCAAGGAAACATCTGCGCGCTCTTATTGTTCTAGCTACATTCTGAGAGTTTACAAGTACTCTCTCTCACAGTTCATGACGTAGGGTAGGGTAATTAGGAATTTCAGAATCTCTACGCGAGATTGTGATTGTCGCACCTGCGTCGTGCTTCCTAAGAGGAGTGCAGCTACGCGTAGGTGCCGCCCTTCTCCCAGCAGCCCCAGTGAGATCAATGTCCTGGTGGCTTTAGTCTTTGTGCAGTGGTTTTCACACTGAGATGCTAAGGACAAGACGGGATTGGCTGTCCAGCGGAGTCAGTGCGACGTATGTAACAAGTGCGATAGCTCGAGCAACTCTCTCGAATCGACGACTCGTGCTTGGAAACCTTGATTGCGAGGATGCGGAGACGCCCTCGGGAGTCCCGCACAGGACCTTGTCCAGTCCTGAGCGGAATCTTTATGATCAAGGTTCCAGGAGCTTGCAATGGCCTTGAAGCGACGCCCCGAAGGCTGAGCCCAAATCCCGAATCGCCTCCTCCATCCCAGTCTCAGGTCGAGGCAACGTCCCGGAGGCTCTGAGCTGGGCCGCACACCCAGAACTCGAGTTGTCCGCTTTTTGGATGTTCCTGCATTCTGGGTCTTACGAGGTGGAACTTTCAGCTTCTTCATGAAGCGGGCACAGCAGATGGAAGGTTCAGAAGCATCGGAAGGCGCTTCGGCCTTCGGGACCTTTGCCTTTGGCCTTCAAGGCCTAACTGCACTTGTTGATGAGGCTTTCATGCCCCCTTTGGTCTCGGTTCCTCCTCGTCGGGGCCTTCGGCAACATGCTGCCTTGCGGCTGTGTGTCTTGCTGCCTTGCTGCCCTGCCTCCAGGTCCTCACAGTTCTCGCCCCTGCTGCGGGATTTGAAGAGTGAGGTGCCGCAATCGCTGGGCCGCAAAGTGCCGAACGAGTTCCTTCAAATGCCTGTTGAACCCAAGTAGGCAGTTGACCGAGCGAGAATCGAGAATCAACGCCCCAAGACGCAGCCTTGAATGCCTTCGCGCTTCTCGGCCAGGACGGGCAGAAGCAGCTCCTGGCCCTCACCGAGCTGGCAGAGCAACTGAGCTTCAGCCCCTTGGCGCTCACCGCACGTAGCCTTCGGAACCCTCTGCGCTTGGCGCTTTCTGCGCTTTGAGGTTCCGAGGAAGCCCTGATCTCCTTTCCGATGGAGACCTTCATTCCCCTGCTGGCGTGTGCCTCAGTCGGCCTCAGTTTCGGAGCGTCGCTCTGAAGCTGGACCCCTCAGATCAATTTGCTTGGAAACCCCGGCAATGGTGATGAGACAACGGCGCAGGCTTGGACTTGGAGCAGTTTGTCGATCGGCCATGATGCTCCTTGGCAGGTCATGCTGCTGGCCTGCCGCTGCCTCTTCAACGTCGTTGACATTCTGCCGAGCTCTTGGCACATGCCCGCTGGATTTGGCGCTGCACCACTATTCGCCGAGCACAGCCGTTTGCCAGGCCTCCAACAGCAAGGATCATTGTTGGCCACGGGGGTCTCTCCGTGCTCTGTGCATCCCTCAAGTTCGGCCCCAGTCTGTGGCTTCCTGTCGGGGGTGCACTGATCCAGCGAAGGTGCAAATCTGCTGAACATTGAGTACATAGACGTCGCGAGCTCTGCCGGATTAAAACTTGGGTGTGGGGAAGAAACTCGCTCACTGATACTCGAAAGCCTGAGCTTATGGTTTCGAACAGTTCGATATGCATGAAAGTGAGAGTAGTATGAGAAGCACATTGAACGTATTGCTGTCTACGGAGCATTCCCTCAGATTGAGGATTCGGGTGAGTTGTGCCCTAAGCAGATTTGTGCGAGGTCGCGGAGCTCACTGTTTCCATCATCGAGCTCATCTCTGAGGACCAGCACGACGACCATTCCATGCTTGGCGTAAGCCTCGTAGTCCGGCACAAAGAAGCCAACTGTCAACTAATCCGGAGTTCCTCAATTTGGCATGTTTGACCGTTCAGCATGCTGAGCAGGGCCTAACCTCGTTCGTTGCTCAACCCAGATTTCACATTCGGGCTGAGGCCGCATGCACTCCATGGAAACATGCCAGATTCAAATCCAAGTTCCCGGTCGCTTTCTTTGGGACCCCAAAGTGGCAGTGAGGATCAGCCGCTGCAAGTGCTGAAAGCCGGCGGCCTCGAGGCCATCCTCTCCTTCCTGGCCGGGGTCCTCAGCCTACGCAAAGCCTAGGCCTAGGCTGCCATCAGCTTCCAACCGTGTGATGGCTCTATCTGGCGGACGGAGCAGTGCAGAAGTAACAGGAGCAGCAGCACTAGAACGGAGTAGTGAGAGTATGCTTTCCAGAGCCAGTAGGGACATGCAACGGTGGGCAATGGTGTTGCCAACTGCTGCAATGATGATGGAGGGTAGCAGCAGTTGTCATAGGTCCTAGAAGATCCGGCGATTCGTGATAGGTGCAATTATTTGTCTTGTCGCTGTCCATGGAGGTGCAGCTATCCGCTTTAGCTTTGTGCTGCCTCGAGGACTTCTTCCAGATCTCTGTGCAGCGGCAGGCTGCGAATGCTGCTGCCGGATTCTTGGTAGTCAGCATGCGAGCTTCTAGCCAGAGGCAGCTCGTGAAGCGAAGAGTCATGTCGCAAGGCTAGCTCCTTGCTCAGGCTGCAATGTTGCGCGCAGTACCTCCGCCGGATGTGTCGGGCACTCGCACTGCATTCGCTGCTGAAGATGCTGTTGTACCAGCCGTTGTGTCGAGTTGGGTCGGAAAGTCGTTTTTTCTTGACCGCCCGAGGTTTAACCAGCAAGTGAAGCCTGCTCTGCCGACTCTCGCACAATTGCCTGGCACTTTCTGCTGGCAGTGGTTGAGGTCGTCTTATACCGATTCACTTTGCAGAAAGCCCGAGGCTGCAACATTCAGATCCACAGGCTTTGCCTTTGTATACGCTAGGCCGCCAGTGTGCAAGTTAGAGACTGTGCCAGGTTCTGTACTCCATTTGTGAGGGGTGGCGTCGAGTCATTGCTGATGCCTTACGTGACAGGATGAACGCACGGCTTCTTTCGATTCATTGGCTTGTTGGCTTCTTGTGCAGATCTTCGTCTCAGGATGGCTGCATAGCCGCGCACGAGCAACCCAAGCAGCAGGATGCCTCATCAGTGTCAGGCATCAGGGGTACGAAAGTGGGCTGAGGGTGAAACCACAGTGCTGACGCAAAAACATTCGGAGGCTTGTTAGCATGCGATGATCTTGAGTTCCGAATTACAGCACGATGCTTATGCTTTGCCGCACTCACTCCGCGATGGTTGGCGCGAGGCTTACTCAAGTGATATTCAAGACCAAGTCCCATACACCAGCTTGCACTTGAGACATTGCCTTGGAGGGCTCCCAAGATCAACATGGTATTCCCAACATACCCATGATACACATCATATTTACTTACAAGTGTGTGAGTTTTTCTATACTCTAAACATATATATATATATATATACAAACAGACGTGTATTTGTTTTCTAAATGTATACACATATGTATGAATGCATGTATACTTGTATGTCTATATCATATATTCATGCTACTCACATACGTGTGTATATAAGAAACTAGACACGTGATTGAGCGAGCAAAGCAGCAGGCGAGTAGGCAAGCAAGTACGCAAGGAAGCAAGGAAGAAGGTGGGCAGGTTTCAGGTTAGAAGGTAAGTAAGCAAATGCGGGAGGAAGTAAGTAGATAAGTGAGTGGATAAGTGAGTGAGTAGATAAGTAAGTAGGTAAGTGCAGTCATGGATATATTCATGTATATATATACATATATATATATATATATACAGACACACACACACACACACACATACATTTCTGTGACACCCTTTTGGGCCACTCGCAGGTGCCAGTGCATCGCTCGTCTCGCGCTTCGCGGCCCAAGCGCGGCTGCGTGCCCGGCCTCAGGGGTTTGCCTCCATCAGAGCTACATTTGTAGAATTCTCTCTAGGTTTCGGGCTCAAGGGCTGAAGAAGAAATTCAGCAGCTGGAATGAAGAAGCCGAGTAAGGAGAAAGGGCCGGCCGACCGGGAGGCATCGTGCATCCATAAAGAAAAATATATACACATACATACACATGCTTACATTTACATACAGACATACATACGTACATACATGCATACATATACATATCCTATATCCAATTGTACACATGCGTTTGAATGTATGTAGGTATGTATGCAGGTATGTATGTGTATGTGTATGATTATGTCTGCGTGTATGCGTATGTGTATGCGCATGGGTCTGCGTATGCGTATACGAATTCATATTTATATGTATGATGTACGCATGTGCGTATGACGTATGTATGTATGGACGTATGTGCGCATTTATGTACGTATGTATGTACGTTTGTGCGTATGCATGTATGAGTTGTACGAGCACTATTGACTCCACGTCTCCCTTTGTTCCATAATTGCCGAAGGCTTGATGATGCCGCATCTGTGTGAAGATGTACAGACTCGCCACAACGTCTTAGCTGACACAATGAAGCTCTTGAGTCTACTGAGTTCTAGGATCAACCTTGAGTTGCTTGTTTAACTATCAAGCGAACTCTTCCAAGAGAAGGCAGCAAAATCAGCAAAGCACTGCAGCCTGAGCCCTGGCTGCTCTGGCATGCAGGCTTCGGCTCCGAGGGCACCAAGAGGGATGCTGCCGAGGCGAACCTCAGAAAGACGACCTCAAAGCATGAGCATAGCAGTATGTGGCAGGATAGCTAATGCTTTGAAGTTACCCGTGGTCTGTCGACATTTGTCGTTTTTCTCGCAAGCCGAGGCTTGGACAATGTGAGGTTGCGGTCTAGGTATCGGAAGTTTGCACGGCTTCGATTTTTGCCAGGTACTTTCTGCTTGTAGAGGGTTCAGGGCATGGCGGAGTTTCGGGTGTGGGTCAGGAACACAGGATTGGACGACAACACGCTTCTGTAAGAGCCATCCTGTGGCTGTATGACTGTATGGAGTGGAGATAGTACATGTGGATGCACAGGCAGGTAAACTCGCATCTTGAGCCCTGGATCGGTCGCTCATCGACAGCTGCATTTGACAGAGATGCATGATGGCTCACCGGCTGCCTCCACGCTCTCGGAAAGATACTAGGGCATGGGCTCAGGATCGAAAGAAGCTGGAAAGGATTTAGTAGACTTGAGCCAGTTCTGATGCGGAATCTGCAGATAAAGATGTAGTGCCAAAGGCGTCATCAAGCCGGCAAATTGCGAGAGCCAGGAAGATGAGGAAGACGAGGACGAAGAAGATGAGGAGGATGTCCTGCCTCCCCCGTCGCCTGCCGGGGCCCAGGAAAGCATGCTAGTTTCGCTTTCATGCAGGATTCTGCCTCTGATGCCCAGTTGGGTAGCTTTCCCCAAAGTTTGTTGGCATCCCAAGCATCTCGTCCGAGGTTGTGCAACCAATTTCGACCGAATCCCTTGCCGCGAGTTTGCAGGACTGATATCTGACAATGGCTCGCGTCCCCCCCCTTGGTTTAACAGATGGCATCTCGTTTTCCGGGAGGACATGATTCCCAGCAGCGTGCCAGCCTCGCATCAGGACGACTCTGAAGGGAGGTGTTAAACTTGCCGGCTCCTGTCCGGACAGTGACGTAGCATGTGCTGGAGACACGAGACTTCAGTTCAGAATCCAGAAGACTTAAGGTGCTGAGCAACTTGCTGCTGCTGCTGGGGAACGGCATCTCTTCCACGCCGCAGACATCTGTAGTCGTGGCTGAGGTGGCAGACTCTGCACTGCGGGCATTTTTGGGACAGCGGGCATAGGGGAGATCTGCTGCCATGCAGGAAACAACTGCCAAGGGAAGCCACTGCTCAAATTGTCTGCTTGCAGGTGCTCTACATCCTCTCAGTCCTGACAAACTATTCGCACAACTTCACAGAGGAGGTCTTGAAACAGGACTGCAAGCACTTGGGTCGAAGTGAACTCGATCGCGGAACTCTGGAACCCAAAGGGAAAGAATTATCTTCTGGTCTTGCAGGATATCTGTGGCCTACTGGGAATGATGGTGTTAGGCTGGCTGTAAGCATGCTGAGCGCATTGGGAGTGTAAGAACAACCCAAAGAAGCGTGGCATCAGGCATGGACTTGGTCGGAACGGGCGTGGGCTCTGCTCAGGCCTGCAGCGCTGGTGTCGAAATTCATGCCTCGCTGCCTCTGGCTGTGGGCTGTGGGTCATCCTTGATGTTCACGGTTATTGATGTTCTAGCTCATTGCGGTATTGCTGAGATTCAGGGTTTCGCTCGCTGCCTGAGTCCTATGTGGACAAGCTGCATTTGTGTCTGGTACATGCCAAGCCTGTGCTCCTGCCCTCTCGCAGTGCCGACTACCTGCATGCTTGCCGCGGTCATTCGAACCATCAGTCTTGTAAACGAATTGGACACCTGCTGCGTTGACTGCTATACAACGTTGCTGCTCTTCAAGGCGGTTCTGCGGCTCTGGTGTCGGAGCTACAGCTACAGGATGTGAGTTTTCGACGTGACGTCTTCCGGAGGCAATTGCACCGTTGTAAGCAATATGATCAGAATCCTGGATCTTGAAGAAGGGCCGCAAATCTCGAACGCCCTGGAAGTTGTGCTAACTTGAGTCTGCGCACGACCGAACAGTGAAGGACCGGTCAAAGGCCAACCATGAAAACCTCGGACCACTGCAAAACAGAATCACTCAGCTTTCCAGCCAGACCAGTGCGGAAGCGATGCCCTTACGACTTGTGTACTTGCAACGTCGACTGTACTACCAGGACGATTGCTCCGGGGTCGACGTTTGGTGCATGTTCTACAGCTGAAAGCGCTCCTTTCCCGGTCAGGACCAATCGGCAAGAGCCACGCGGCATTCGCACAATATGGCTCCAAGGAGTAACCACTCGGTTTCGCAATTCCCTTCGCTTGCATACACCAGGCGAGCACAGAAAGGATTTCGAATTCAAGTCCCCTTCCCGAGCGCGAGGCAACCCGTCGCTACAGTACGCGATTTTGCGATTACACTGAGCTTGCTGTGGCAGAGTTTCAAAGCAGCCCCGGAACCTGCAAATGACAACTTCCCCTAGCTTGACTCGCAATGTCAGAGCCGGGGCTATGATGCAATGTCGGTCCGGAATACGCAATTTGCTAATACCGCAGAGCATCGTCCGCCTGCAAAAAATATTATTTAATTTCCTTGCTCCTTACCGTCTTCCATGAGTAGCACTCAGATAGTGAATATTTACAATTCACGGGATCGCTGCGCGACCGCTGCTGGAAGCAGCGGGCCCCCCTAGTTATAATTAATTATACCGGGATATCTAGTATACTTCATTTGGCAAAAATTTCCATTTCAAGTATATATTCAGTATTGTATTTCATTTTATGAAAAATGTAAGAAATAACTATAAGAGATCTAAACTTAAAAGGGGAATTACTCTATTTCAATTATATTTTCAGTATTTTATTTCATTTTATGAAAAATGTAAGAAATAGCTGTGCCACAACGGGGGCACGAAGGATCGACCCCAATTCAATGTTCCTCCCCCTGAGCGCTAATGTTAAAATTTCAAACAACTCCTGGGAGCAACATGTCGCACCTGCTTGTACCGTACCAGAAGCAAGGCTCCTATCGTGAACAGATGTGCTGTTTCGGTTTCTGTGAGAGTAGACCTTCGTCGATGTTGCCTTGCCTTCAGGGCAGCTCGCTGTTGATTCGGGTACTGGCGCTGGTGGCCTCAGTTGCTCGGCAAAAACTTGGACAAGCAGCGCTTGTACGTCTTCGCATTTCTTTCACACTTAGACAGTCAATCCCCCTATAAATTTGCAGTAGTCTGTAGTCTCTTCTCGGTGGTTTCGGAGGGTTCCGTGTTCGTCCGGGCAAGAGGTCCTAGGTCCATGGGGCTTTGCAGGCAGCCTTTGTCTGTGATCTTCCGTGTGTATCCACCGAAACTGCATTGACTAGTCAGTGCGGGGTTGTTAGTAGGGCCACATCGTTTAATCGCCGGGAGGTCATGCCGTCCGTCCTCCTGACGGAGTCCGGCTGCGTGTGCGAGGCTCCCTATGGGAACAGATTGTTAGTGAGTTGAAGGAAGCGGTCTTTGATGCCCTGGGAAGGATCGTCGGCTGATGGTCTTTCGGCAACATCCCGAATTTCTGGATGTGCCTGCCTTGAAGCATCTGATAGCAGCTGCATGTTACGGTATCAGCTTTGTTGGTACTCTGTGCCGTGCGTCCTCCAAGGCCTTGAGCAAGACCTTCCTTCCAATGTTGATCGACATCTGCCAGGCCCCCCAACGGCCCCCACCTTCCGGCATTTCTCACCCGGGGTCCACGGACGATGTCGCAAGGCTTCGATGGATCCGTCTGTGCAGTCGGTATGCATCTCCCTGCTTCTCACCTTTGCTCTAGCCAGCAGGTGACTCGGAGTTTTCCTGCAAGGGCTCGTTGATCTGCTGTGTACTTAAGGTCAGGAGAGGCCCGAGCAGGGGCTTCAGCTTTGACGTGCTCAACAGGCTTGGCCATGACTGTCCGACTGTCGTGCGACGCTCCGAGGCTGCAGAAGAACCTGGAGCCGGTTCAGCTGGCGAGCTTCCTCGCACCGAGCTCAAACGGACATGCTCGAACTTTGGTCTCGTTTTGCGGGGATCTGTAGGCCAGCTTGCTTCTAACGGAACCATCGACCTCCGTGACGCTCTCCTGCCTGCACCGCTGCCCTGTCTTTGGAGTCGCAGAGCCCGCAGAAGCAGCATGTAGCAGCATGCAGACTCTGCAGAGCATTAGAGATTCGCAGAGCAGCATTTCCTCCACCCGGCGGCAGGTTGATCGGCGAGCAGACCCTGCGGCACCACTACGACGTCTACGCGCAGAGGCCTCAGCAGCGCAGCTGCCGCGAAGCGCCTCTGCGAAGTTGCGAGGGGGCAAGCAAACCTTCCCTCAAATGCTCGGCCTTGCCCGCCTAGGCTGCACTTCATTCGGCAGGGTGTTCGCCATGCCATCAGCAATCAGGCGCTGTCAGCGCTGTGGCTGCCGACTATCAAAACTGGGCGAAGAAAATCGGCTCAGCTGGTTTGACCCGTTTTTGAGCAGAGCGACTGAAACGTGCAGGCATCTGTCGACTCCGAACAGTCCACTCAGGACAGCGAGTTTCGCAACGTTTCGATGAAGATTGCAATCGGAAGACATGAATGTACCCTTCTCAAGCCAGCAAGGGGAGACAAGCTCCCTTCTTGAGGAGCCCACAGAGGCCACAGCCGCGGAGGCTGCGGGCGCGTGTCCGTCTCAGAGCCGCAAGTTTCAGAGTCGCGTGTTCTGATTGTGTTGCATGTAGTGGCCGTTTCTTGAGGGCGTCTGCCGCAGCACCATCCGTAGGCAGCCAGCTCAAGAAGGTTTCACAGCCTCAGCCGTGGTAGCGAAGTCGTCCTGACCTTCAGGAAAGTTGCTGCGCAGGCTTTGCAAGGAGGCTGGCGTCCCGCTTCGAGGGGTGCTTGAGCTGCGCAAAGAAGCCGGTTGCCTTCGTCCAGGTGGCACAGCGTACGCTTCAGAATCACTTCGTAAGGTGCTTAGCACCTCAAGTCAGCCTGTGTGACAGCAAAAGCTTCGCGTTCGCCGTCGACTCTCCCAGGATTCACGGACTGCCATTGAGATGGTGGTTCTAGATCGACTCAAGGAGGTTGCCATGGCCTGAGACGGTCTTTGGTCCTTCCGTGGAACTGGAGTTTCCGAAGTTCAGGCTCAGCAACTGGAGTCGCAGACCTCCGCAGCACAGGCGAGGTGACGGGCGAAGCATCGCCACATGGCACTGTACCCCTGGTACTGGTAGTGTACCCTCGTGATTCCCTGCTCTTCTATCCGCCGTCGAGGCTTTGGAGCAGCTGCGCAGTCTGCTCCTGGCCGAAGAGAGCGTGACGGCGTTTGAGCTAACGTGCAGTGGCCTTCCTCTCATGGTTTTGTTGTTCCTCAGACTGATGGCAACAAGCTGAAGCCAGGAGTCTCGAGCGCATTGTCCGCTTACCTCTTCCCTGATTGTCATCTCCCCAAAAAACTTTCAAAAAACGGCATCTGCAAAGTCACACGCTGCCTGTGACAATGCCCTGTTCTTGCTTGTGCGAGGTGATGATGCTGATGTCTTCAAGGAGCGGCTGAGGCAACGAGATTTGTCTTCTTTCGAGCCTCCCTTTTGCTGCAATCAGCCTGCTCAGGCTCTTCCTGGAGCACATTGTCACGCCACCGGGAGGACCTGGTCTCAGAGTACGGCTTTCCGTCCTGCTGTCCCAAACCTCCCAAAGGCGCCTTGCAGAAGTTGGTGAAGCTCTGCCAGGTCCCCGGAAAAAATCCCCCAGACTTGCTTCTTCTGGGACTTCTGAGGGTCATTTTTTTTCTCTCTGAGGCGTTTCCGTGCTTCAACGAGTTGAGCAGGGCCCGCTGAACCTCTTTCCGACGCAGGCATCTCCTGCTGGGGCCCGAGACGCTGACGTCCTCAGACTTTTACTAGTCTTGGGCACCAAGCGTCAGCAGTTCGCCACAGAGTGCCAGGCCATGTATCTGCCCCAGCACCTGCTACTCGCAACTTCTCAGCGCTAGGCTCAGCTTCGCACGGCTTGCCTCAATTCTCCGAAGCGGTGATGCCATCCGCTAACAGCCGACCCGTCCATTCCTCACGTCTTGCATTGCCGCTTTTTGGGATCAAAAGCGCCAGTGGCGGGACAAGACACCGGAACTCTGGCAGCGGTCTCAGGAGCAAAGCACAGTTGTCCTGATTAGTTTTTGACCTGATCTTCTGTTTGCGGGCGATTGGAGTTCGCCGAGGTTTTGGGTGCCGCTGCGCTGGATTAGACAACCATGCCGCTTATTGCCCCGAAAGATGCTGCTCCCGTCACTGAGCTGCAGTGTTGTTTGATGTCAGCACATGTGTCCACTATGATCCGCTGGAAGCTCAGAGCCATCTCGATATTTCCTGGCCAAGGTGAAAATGTCGGCCAAGATGGCCCCGGAGCTTGAGCTGTTTGTTGTGTGCGGCTGGGGCTGCTTGGCTTGACAAGTTTGGCCAAGTGCGGCCTGTCACTGCCATGCTGGCTAACTATGTGTGTCAGCACACTTCCAAGGTAAATGTCCAAAGCGGCGGCAGCCCCAGATGTCCAAGCCACCCAAACACCACGCGTGTCGCGCCCAAAGGTTGGAACGCGCCATGAAGAGGAAGCCCAATGTTAACTACAAGAACGAGGAGGGCACTGCCCAGCGATCCCCGACTTGTGAGTTCGCCCTCTGCGGCACGTGTAGGACGGCCTGACGCCTCTCTTCAACGCCACCATGTGTGGCTCTGCCGACTTCGTCGAGAAGTTGATCAAGGCTGGTGCGGGTGTTTCTGGAAGAGGGCTGGCAGGCTACTGACATGGCTACGGCAACCGCTGGCTCTTCTCTTTTCATGCTGTGGTGGCCATGCGACGCAGCTGCACTCGAGGCCGGTGCGGAGCCCAACGTGGTTGCGACGGAGTACCTTCTGACACCGCTGGAGTGGGTCACTGTAACGGTGGTTGCAGTGAGAGTGTGCTGTGTTCAGTTCAAGTTCAATGAGGCTTTATCATGGTTACCACTTGTATGCTTTGTCTTTGGCTGGCGGGTTGCCTAGCAACGGCCGGCCGGCAGGCACACACAGTGGCGAAGGCACCACTAGACATGGCCGTAGTTGCTTTCTTGTTGTGACCTCCGACGTATGCCCAGGCTAAAGTCAACTATGATGAAGAGCGGGATCGGCGGTTGAATGACTTTGACCAGGCAGGATACTTCAAAGATAGATCTTCAACTTCAAGCCAGAGCTTTCGAGGTAAACCGTCTGGATGACACCTGCCTGGCTATTCGACCAGACATTGAGCCCTTCCGGAAAGTGAAGCAGGTCCTGGGTGCCCGTACAGCTGGATGACTGTATGGGTCTTGTCCATGCCACTCCAATATCCAACTTGGAAGGTGTTGGAGAAAAACGGAGGTGTTGAGGCGAAAGCCTTCTCCAACAATCCAAAGATCAAACCAGCCCCTCGGAATGATATACGGACACTGCCCTTTCTGGGACAGCAATGCATGGGCTTAAGGATGGCTCCATCGATGGAGGCAAGCCATCGGAGCTTAGATCCTACAAGCTGCCCCTTGCCAGCACCACTGCACATGACATCCCAAGCGAGCAAGCAGCCGGGATTGCCAGGGTTTGCCGGGACTAACAAGGTCGGCAGATGGCTCCTACACCGCCTCGCATTACCTCCGCTCGGGCAAGTTCGATATGTTGAAGTACGAGGCAGGTGTACTTGAGTCAATCCGCGACGTTGAACGACCTTGACAGCTCGAGGATGGCCGACTCGTGGAGTGCGAATACGACAATGGCTCAGCTTACAGACTTGACGCGATGAGAGCACACCCTAGCAGCAGTCTTTCTTCCAAAAAGCCCTCTCTGGAAATTCGCTTCAGGATCCGAAGACGGGACACTGGGAAGGCTATGAGGCAGCTGCGGCAGCGACGGCATGAACGAGTGAGTGACGGGGAGCTGAGCGCCGGCGCAGTGTGGGCTCCCGTTTCGGTCGCCAGGATCCATACTGTGAGCAGACTGAATTTTTGCACGGTTCGCTTCTTCCTTGACCAGACTCTGGAGACCAGAACCGCCCTGCAACAGATCAGAAGGCCGCGTTGCGGAAGAATCATCACCGATGTAGTAGGTCTAGATCCAAACACTTGGTGTGTTAGAACAAGTTCCTGCTGTTGAGCCAAAAGTATGGCCCACCGATCTTTGAGTGTCTGCTGTTACAGGGTTGTGACCTCTAGTCGCGTGCCTTGAAAAGCTGCAGCTGAGAGAAGAGGCGAGGTCATGGGCGCTTCTCATCAGGCTCTCTCTCTCTCTCTCTCTCTCTCTCCCTCCCTCCCTCCCTGCCTCCCTCTCTCTCTCTCTCTCTTGCGTCTCATGGGCGTGAAGCATGTTGCTCTTGCTGTCATATGCGAGTCTGCCATGTGCTGCAAAAACCCCCGAAGCCCCTGAAGCAAGGGCGGCGGATGCTCGGAGTCGTCGAAACGTGGATACGCTGGACAGCTTGTGGGGTACCCGGCTTTGCTCTCGAGCGCCGGCCCGCCATACGTGGAGCTGCGACTCTCATACTAATGCTGCTAATGCTTCTTGAGCTTGAAACCCAGGAGACTGTCCAGCTCCCGATCTGGGATAGGCGCCATGTTAGCAAAAGCTCACAGTGAGGCGATTTGATCCTTAACCTGCTGTCTGCACTTGGAAGGCTCCATGTCGTCACCGCTTCTGTCCGTGCTTCGGCTGTTGGCGAAGCCGGTCAAGGCTGCAGGGTTGTGTTTGTGGGATGCCACAAAGGTTTGGCCCAGGCCTTGCGCTGGGTCAGGAGAGTGTACCTTCTAAGTGCTTGCGTTGTGCCATATGGATGTCCAGAGGATAGCAGATGGAGCAAGGCATCGAAGAAGTCTGTCTTCAGATTGCTCCCCAGCTTGAGTGAATTGTGCGGAGTGCCGACATGCATGGACCCCATAATTGTCCTTTTGATAGCACATTGCGACAGCACCATCACGAACAGTTGCCAGCATGGTGCCATGGTCTGAGTCTGCCGTCTTGCCCGCCGGCCCGGAATGGTGGAACCCCACGTGCTGTGTGCGCTAAATGCCTTCTGCCCGGTCATCGCAAGCGAGCTCCGGAAGTCGGCAGAGCTCCAGAAGCGACGTCGCTTCGCTCTCCAAGGCCTCCAAAGAGTCGCAGGAAGGCCAGGTGCTGTCGGGCACAGAGAAAGAGAAAACGCTAAGTCCCAGCCTTCCCGAGCCGGGCACTTGGCAGTCGGCCGAGCAGGAGCCGACCGACGAAGACGAGGGCTCTGCCGCCGAAGCTGAGCCGTCGTCGCTTCCCCTCGGAGCCCAAGAGGCGAGCGAAACCTTGCCGGGGCAACCCGATGAGCCAGAGTGGGCAGGCCATGCATCCATCGAAACCGAGGAAGGGCCAGGACATGCGGAGGCTCTCTGGGCTGGGACTCGTGATGCAGATGAAACGTTACAGAGACCCGTAGAAGGCTTAGACCGCCCCGAGCTGGAAGAGGAATCGCCAGGACCTCCGGCTTCCCGGCTGGACTCCTTTCAGATGGATCTCTCTGACACCGAGGAGCCAAACACGGAAGTCCGTGTACCAGTAAGCCCTCTGAGCGACGAGGCCTACGAGGGCTATGGAGTTTATTCGTCCATGGTGCGGTTCTCAGATCCGGGTTCACATTCGCGTGAGTCTTTACCAGCACTCCTGGACCACTCGGCTAACCCACATCAGCCTCCCTCGGAAGGGAGTTCCTCCGTGAATCTGAAGTCCAAGTTCAAATCCAGCCGTATGACCACAAAGTCTTTGGGATCTTTGGACATCCGAAGGAATGTCTCTTCGCCTGTGCAAGGAAGCTCCTCCCGAGGACTTGGCCTGAACATGCAGTCTGCGCGAGCTGTCCGTGACCTAATTCCTTCAGCTGAGATGGCACGTCGATCGCTGACAATCAATTCTGGCAGCGCATCTCCCGTCAAAGATGCAGCCGAGCTTCCCAGAGGCAGCAGCTTGAAGCAACTGCGCCCTGTTACGTCCATAAGACCTCCGAGGTCACGGCCGGTTTCCTGGGTTGATCGGAAGCAGCATGTAAGCGAAGTTCGGACAGCTCAGATGGATTTAGGCTGGGACATGGAAGGTCACCTGCCGGACCTATCATCTGCCGCACCGGGCTTCCTGTCACAGGCTCACCTGCGATCTGAGGAATACTGGAAGGACCTCCTGGGAATCGATGACGAAAGTATTGCGACATTCAGCTTTATCCAGAGCGATCTTTGTGGCAAGTTTATGGCAACATGCATCATTGTCTTTGTGCTGGTGGTCGGTCATCACGACACGGATCAACTGCCAAAGTGGGGATCGGAACTTGTACACTTCATTCTTGCGATAAGCTTGATCGAGATTGCAATGCACATCTGCAACCACTACCAAGGCGCACCTTACAAGAAGCCTGAAGACAAGACGATCCTTTTCTTGGATACCATTGCAGTCTTGGTGTCCTGTTGCGAGATCTGGATCTTTCCTGTGGTGCTGGGTCCAAGTCTGCACTTCTCGCGGATGGTTTGGCTAATCAGATTCCTGCGTGTCATTAGCATGATACCGTCATTGCGTGAGCTAACTTTGGGTGTGCTGGATGCTCTGCAGGGCTTGTTCTGGGTATTGATGTTCCTCTTTATCTTCGTCTATGCCCTTGCAGTCGTACTGACACGCATGATTGGGCACCACGAGCGGAGTTCGGACCCAGACGTTCAGGAGGTGCAGGATATGTTCTCGAACGTGGGCAACAGTATGTTTTATCTTTTTCAGCTGACCAGCCAGTGGAGTCTTGTACCGCTCTTCCCTCTCCTGAAAGCTTCTCCGGCTACCTGCGTGGGTTTCACTTTGTTCTACATCTATTCTGGCTGGGTAATTGTTGCTGTGATGACGGGAACGGTGAGCTTCACGATGATTTCCTTCAAAGCCCGCATGGTGCAGGAAGACGAACTTCGAGAGGAAGAGAAGAGAGTCTTTGTGAAGCAAGTGCTTGAGGACATTTTCCTTGCCCTGGACGAGGATGGGAACGGAGAGCTGAGCTACGAGGAATTTCAAGCACTTCTTCGGTCGAAGGAGGTGCTGTTGCTGCTGTCTGACAACACGGATATCAAGATCCAGGACCTGGAGGACATGTGGCAGTGGATTGATACAGACAAGAGCGGCTCGGTAACCATCGTGGAGTTCTTTGAGGGTTTCGAGATGCTCAACGAGCCCTTCAGGCAGAAGACCCTTCTGAAGGCGCCCGTTCAAAAAACCCAAGAGACCTAAACGACCTAAACACTGTAGATCCCGCCGCAGGTGCAGGAGAGGATCTCTGGAGAGATTCAAATCACTTCAAAGCGGCTGCTGGAGCTCGCCATGGAGAGTCTCGATGCCTGCTGCCACAGCATCTACACGCCCATGAACAAGATCCATGCGGTCCTAGAGCAGGTAAGGCTTTTAAGGCTTTAAGAGGTGATCTCATAAAGCTTCAATGCGCCAACCTTCGTTGCAGCTCTTGTGCGGCAAGCAAAGCAGGTGCAGATCCAGCTGCTCACTGCCCTGAGGCTAAAACACCAGGCGGCTTGGCTGGACCGGCACGGCATGTAGAAGCATGGCTGCGCGAAGCCCTCGCCTCCAGAATCGTTCCTTTCTTTTCAAGGTTTTGCACTGCTTACGCAAGGTCGGTCTCGTGCCTGTGAATGCGCAGACAGACGAGGACACGGCAGTGGCCGAGGTTCTGGTTGGGGCCGGGCTGCAGGCAGGGCCAGGGCCAGGGTGGTTCCCAATATCTCTCACAGGTCTGCCTCACTTCTCCCTGAGGTTCCGGAAGTGGCAAACTCTCTGGCCAGCCTCGAAGCCCGCCTCGAGTTGCAGGAGTCTGGAGCTGGGAATTCAGAGCTAGAGCGGGTCTTTTCGGGGTTTGCTTCAACATCTGCTGGCCCTGTGCCGAAGGAACTCGTAAGTTTACTAAGCGAGGAAATCGAGTGCTGGCTGGTGTTAGTTAATACTAATTGTCACCATGGCTTCAAGATCTCCCGACCCCGATCTGTCCCGCTAGATGCTGGAAGCCATCGAGCGGATCAACAACTTCCGGGCCGTCAAGACCCAGCGGCATCTGCGCTGGTCTCAAAGCTCGACTCACGACCAGTTCTGAAGAATCTCATGCACATCACGGCAGCCCTGTTGGCTTCAAGTCTCCTCAGTTTCGGCGTGTTTGCATTTGCGCAATCTGTTATCGGATGATGCATGGCTTGCAATTGTGGACAGTTTACATAGTTTGCATGCCGAGTCTAGTTCGACATTGTTGGCGACGCCACAAGTCAGCCCACGCACTGAACTCTGGTGCATGCTTTGGCGAACTTCAGACCGGCCAAGTCTAGTCCCTCTTCGTTTCACGTGCACCAAAGCCTGCAAAGACTGCTGCTTTGCCATGTTAGTGCCCTCCACGGAGACCAAGGATTGTCTCCGTGTGTTCTGTCCAGAGAAGTTTCGACCATGGCTTGCTGTGGCATAACACGGCCAGTTAGGGTGCCGGTGTTGACCAGCTTTTCGGGTGGTAGCCGTCAAGGAGAAACCTTGTTCTATACTCGCCCGCGTCGGCTAGGGTAGTGTCTGCAAGTATCCTAGTATCCCACTAGGCCGTAACGATCAAGGGCTGCATCGCCACTACGTGCGGATTCGTTGCTACAGCAAGAATCAGGTGTGCGGGTGTCCGATCCCGGTCCCAGCGTGACTGACGTTTCCCGAAGTGAGACTGGTCGTAAAGCAGGAAGGTCGTGAAGCAAAGCAGATGAGAGTCTGAGAGTCCAGAGTGAGAACTTGTACGCCAGATTCGGATGAGCCCGCGCGGCTCCAGCTCCGGTGTGTCGCCGCTGAGTGCGTCGCATGTCTCAACTTAGAGAAGGGAGCAAACCTTCCTTTAAGGACCTGACCTACTCGTAGCACAAAGCGGGTGCGGGGTTTAAGGCTCAAATACGATTTCTCCTGAAGTAAGCCTCAGAGAGTGCCGGGTTCCAGGCTCGAGACTAAAGTCGGGAGAAATCTTGGTACAGAGTGGGCAGATTCAGGATGTTGCGGGCTGACCGGGTCGGGAGTCCGAGGTCGCTGCCCAACTTCAAGTCCTTGCTGGTGCCCTTCGGAGGCCACGGTGTCCGGCAACCGCGCGGCCGGTCGACGCAGAGTTGCTTGTCCAGGCCTCTCGGAAGGTGGAGCCGAGGGCAGAAACAAGGTCCTGGACCTCCCACTTGAGCTTTGCGACCCATGGAGCTCAGAAATCCTTGCAAGGCCGTAGCGAAAGCGAGCGCGCTCATTGGTGGAGCGTTCGCTCCTCAAGTGCCACACGCCCTCCGCGAAATCCAGAGCCTTGGGCCTGCGTGACGAGTCCGAGGCCTGGCAGAGTGCCAGCTGGCCCGCGATCGGCGGCGCGCTCAGCCCGTGACCCTTTCCCCCCTGTCTTGAAAAATGCAGCATGCCAACACGTCAGGGGCCCGGTGTGGGCGTATCTGCGGCATCCCCGGCAGTCTGGCGCTGAGAAGTCCTCGGGACAGCATCTCCAAGCTGTCGGCTGTTGGGATCTGAGGCACGCTTGCGGAACTACTTGGCCTCGAAGGTGTGCCGATGGGACAACAGTTCCCATCCCGTGTCGCTTTGCCTTCACCTGCGAGGTTACTCGCAAACGCGGCGGTGGCGTCGTCGGCCCTCACCTCAGCAGCTCCAGCATGAAGCTCGTGATGTACCCGTACTTCACGCTCTTATATCATTGTTTGGGCATCAAGCAATCAAGCAGCCGAGGTGGTGGAGTCTTTCGCTCTGAAGCGAAGCCGGTCGCCCAAGGACACGCAGTGGCCGTGATGCTTTCTTTTCATCCCGTTGTTGTGACGCCGCAAGATTGCACACGATGCTCGCATCAGGTCCGGAGGTCCGGGAGGTTGCGCCCCGAGACTCTTCAGGATTTTGGACTCATGGAACTGCGAACTTGTGCCGTCTTTAGGTGAGACTGCCGAGGACGGAGGCCAAATCGCGGCAATCCGGGATCACACTTTGGATTCCTGATGAGTCTTTTTGCACACTCAACACAGGCCCCGTCGCTCGGGCCTCCACAGGTGTCGGCATCCCAAGCTGCCAACTTCTTGGCGAGTTCTGGCTTCTTGGCCACGCTGAGGAGGGATCGGGCAGCCGATCCGCCCGAGAGCGCGAGTTCGAGGTGGTTCGACTGTGCGCTTGCAAGCTTGGAGGGCCCTCGAGGTTCGTGTGAGGTTCCAGGCAAACGCAGACCCCAAACGAGAGTGCTAGTGATGTCTGCGGTGCCTAAAACTCTTGGGTCCAGGCGCTGGAGACCGTGCTGCTCGTGGAGCCCTTTGCCCAGGCTCACGGGCGCTTTTGCAGGATGCATAGAGAGTCTAAGAGGCGCTCTCAGAATTCTGCTCCATCGCAGGTCTCAGCTCTGGAGGACTACATATGGGACAGGTGCCTCGTGTCGATGTCGCGTCTGGCTTTTGTCACAAGTCACTCGGGTGAATGCGCATGCTTGTGAAATCCAGCTGGGCAGGCATGGATCAGGCAAGCCTGCAGCTGCCGAAGGCAGGACCAACAGCCTTCATGTCAGACTATTTCAAAGGACACGGTTTTTTTCTCAAAACACAAGCCGACATCCGTTGCTGCTGACTTGCGCATTATGTTTGATGCTTGTCTTAGAACGGAGGTGCGGAGACCAGCACAACCAGCGAGCCAGCAGCACGAGTGCGACTGTTTGCTTCTCAGTCCATGTGGTGCAAGTCTGCAATGCTGCGGGCGTGGACGCTCCGCTCACCCAGGACGACCAAGCAGCCACCTCCTGGACAAGCAACATCCAGAGTCTTGAGCCGAGAATACTCAATGGCGAACCAGCGGTGACTGGGTGTGTTTCAGGCAAGAGCCAAGGGAGGCGAGCTTGGAGATGCTGGCAAATCTGCCCGGAGCCTTCGCTGGTGATTTCGAGAGGTTTAGGTTTTGCATCTTTTTCTCGTCTAAGGCCGTGGAGCCTGGCGCAGCGTCACCGCCCGCAGTGCCTTTGGATGCACCCGCGGCGCCTCCTCCTCTGGGCCAAAGCTCCTCCCAGGCCGGCAGTTGGACTGTCGACGCTCACTTGCAGAAAGTCTGTTCAGCCCTCGCCCAGGGAGGCGACACGCCCTCTTCGAATGCTGGATGCTTAGTTAAAATGTCTCCTGTACCCGAGCTGTAAGGGGAGAACCGTCTACGCATGTACCTGTCATACGTGACTTCGACGAGCTTGTCTAGGTGATTCTGTTTCTGCCGTGCATGTGCCTTCAGGCTCAGGCACCCGCTTCAACAGAGCTTTGCCCTCGGCATGCTCTTGCCCTGCCTGCATCGTGCCGGACTCTAAAGACTCGATGCGACTTTGACTGAGGCGACGAAAGCAGACAGCCGGCTCCTGGATAAAATTTCAGCAGGCGCACCAGCATGTCATACTCTTATCCAGGTTCGCATCTTTTACAATGGCCACCAGCTCACTGCCAAAGAAAGTGTTCGGGCCTCGCTGCCACCTGAAGTGACAAGGTTTTGGCAACTCGCTTGTCAATTTCAGGTGGTGCAGGTGCTGGTCAACAACCCCAAAAAGGCATCGCCCGTCCTTGAGGCCTCCGTGTCAGCATCCTCGAACCTCGCATGTCCCCATTGTCCAAGCCGTGACCGCTCTAGATATCGCATTGCTTCTTCATATGTGTGCCTTGTTTGGCATTCGTGGCTCGATCTGGGCTGTGCGCAGCTGGATACGTCGAGCGGGTCCGCGGCACCCATAAATGCACAAGCCGTCAGGAGCTGGGCAAGACAGCACGTCGAAGACAGTCAAGGCGCACTTCGTGATAAATGTGGCAGACGCACAGAAAGTGATAGCGTGGGCTGGTGGCGCGAGTCCTTAGCGGAGGCGCTCTGTCGGCGGCCGCTTCTTGGCCTCCATGGAGGCTGCAGTCGCTTTGAAGCCGGAGCTTCTCTCTGGTGCCGGTGCGAGCAGGAAAGCTCGGGCTCAGACGGCGAAGGCCTCCAGTGGGGAGCGCGGCGCAGCGGGGAGGAATCCTCTGCATCCGCAGGTTCGCCTGGCAAAGCCAGTGCCCGTATCCGAGCACTTGCCTGGACTTAAGCGGACTCCAAAGTCGATCTGAATTTCCCCCGTTTGCCCAGGCTTCTCGACACTTCTTTTGTGGCTCCATTTGGGGCAAAGTCCGCGGCCCAGGCAGCGATTTGATTGTACTCCCAGTGCTACAAAACTCAGGTGCACCACATGACCTTCGAGCTGGTGCCAGATCCAACATCACCACGTGATGGGGGCGAGGCCTCGAAACCAGAGGTGCGCATTGAGTTTCAGCACCCCGATTCGCATTGCTTCCCCCATGCCATCTAAAGGAGCTGCAAGTGGATCCGCCCGTGATGATTGTCCCGAACGAGATGGACTGCCTAGTGGAGTGCTTGGCATTGCGAGCGAAAGTGGCCGTGAATGCACAAGCAAGGGCAACCGTGGAAGCTTGGGCAACGTCTTTCCAACGTTTTTTCGACATAGTTTGCATCGTACATTCGCCGTTTTCGTGCTGTTATTGCTGTTTTCCTCGGGCAGCGTCGGTTCTCGTAGGTTCCGGTCCGCATGAAAGCACACAGCCAGAAGTTCGACAATGAAGAAACGGCATTTTGTAATTCAGCATCGCACACGTCTGGCTGTGGTGTGGCTTTGCTTCAGCGCCCAGATCTGGCTTTGGCCAATCGTATCGGACGTATCGTTTTGATGCTGGTTTGCTTTGTGGGTTCCTGACAGCCGACATCGGCAAGCGGAGAAGACCCCGGCCTGTTCGGACATGAAAACTCGAAACATGGCGGGGAAAGGTGAGCAGTTACAGCAGTTTTGCCCTTGAGATGCGCCGTGGTACGATATTGAAGTTCAGCCATGGTGACAAAAGTGCAAGCTTGACCACTGCCTTGGCGGTCAAGCACGAGGTGCAATGCCATACTCGCGTGGCCTCGAGCGTGGCCGGAATCTGTGATGCAGGCGGGCCACTGTTGCACGTGGACTGCCCAAGACGAAGCGTCGATGCAACATGTGAGGTGACGGAGCGAACCAAGTTGCTGCCCCAGATGATCCGTGAGAGTTCAGTTCAGGAGATGACGGGCTGGTTCGAAGGGCTCGGGCAGCGAAGAGCGCGCGAGCATATCTTCTTGCCCTGAGAAATGCCTTTCCTCGCCAAGGCGCCGAGCTTTGCACAGGAGACGGAGGTTCAAAGAGCAGATTTTCTAGGAAGCATTGGGTCTGGGTTACATTTTGCCCGTGCCAGACCGTCACAATGCTGCAGCTGCTCTCTGCCTTTCACAACATCAGCCTCTACGATGCTACGACTTCGGGTGTCGGGGTCTCAGAGTCTCGGAGTCTCGGGCCCGAAATCCTCAGCTCCTCAGCTGCCAGGTCCAAACGGGATCGGTGTCTGAGGATTTCCACTGCAACACTCTCACGCCAGCGCCTTAGCTGCTGCATGCCGCATTGCAGCTCGGAAGTTTCAAGCCAGCATGCGAAGAAAGCCACGACAAGAGCTTTGTGTCGGGAAGAGGGCCCTTCAAGATGAATTGATGATACAGGCAGCCCAAAGGTCAAGAGTCTGGATGGCTTCATGTGAATCGGTTTTCGGACAGAGAAGGAGTCTCCGTCGCACATAGGAAAGCATAGGGTTGGCATCGGAGGTTGGTGGAAGGAAAGACTTCGTGAGTCCGACATCAGCCGTACATCTCTTCAAGTGACGACAATTCGATCTGCTCGCGAGCTAGGTGGTTCGGTTCGTTGCGATGGGTTGTCACCAGCTGGACTGAAGTTCTGAATGGGGTTGCACTCGCAAGTGCAGCCGATACAAGTCTCGATTACTATTCCCTGGGCAGAGAATTCAGAAAGCTTTGAGCTGTTGCTTGGCAGCGAGAGCATCGTTGTGTGCTCCCCTGCCGTGCAATATGATTCAGCGAGATGTCATGCACGCAGGATCCTCGTAGGAATCGGGACGTTTGAAGTTGAAGTATCACCGGAAGGGGCAGAAGTTTTCGTGGGCCGGGTCGTGGACAATTCCGGAACACTGGCACGCTTTCGGAAGGGCCAGGTGATGCTGCGACTCAATCGCGAATGGAACCACGGTGACCTCAGAAACCTCGGTGGGAGCTCTTGGGATGTCATTTTGCCCATGGCAGCACCAGAAGGAAATCTGCAACTGCAGGCAATGCCTTACGAAGGTTTTAGCAGCCGTGGTGCAGTTGGAGCCCGTTTGTGGCCTTGCTCCCTGCTGCTTGCAGCATACATCCGGCGGCTGTATGCCTACAAGCCTGATCAACTGCGAGCACGACTTCTGGAGCTGGGGAGTGGTAGCGGTCTGTGCGGCCTTGTTGCTGCTGCACATGGAGCCACGGCCGTGCTTTCAGACGGCGATGCAAGAGTGTTGCCGCTGCTTCAGCGGAATGTAGCCGAATATGCCCGGCGGGCGGGTGCGCCCAGACCGCATGTCTTGCGTGTAGACTTTGCCAACACGGCAGATGTCGAGGCAGTGCTGGAGCAATTCGACAGGTTCGACTTCGTCATAGCATCGGATGTGCTCTACGAACATCGATTGGTGGCGCCCTTCTTTCGCGCTGCTACGAAGTTGCTGCGCACTTCCGAACATCTCGAGAAGTCAATCCCAACCATCTTGGTCGCTGTTGAGCTGCGACCTTGTGGAGTGGACTTGGCCGTGGCGATTCAAGAAGAAGGGCAACATCATGGGTTCGCCGTCAGTGACGTGACAGCACAGATGCGTATGTGGGTTGTAACTCCACCAAATGAGCTGCAAGTCCCCCCGCTTGAGGAGAGGCACAGGCTTTACCTGGTCAGCGCGCAGCCAACGACACCGCCAGAACCGGAGCAGAGGACATTGCGACCTTACCAGCCTTGGCAAGCAGAAGGGAGGGAGGAGTGGTACTCCCGCTCTTTGGGATACTGGTCCCAGCAGGAGGCATCCTGCTTTGGCGTTCTCGGCGGGCATCCTGAGACTTCGGAGCTTGATCTGGAAGGTTCAGCAGCTTTCCTGAATATCTTGCAGTCCAAGAACTTTCATACGGCTCTGGAGTGTGGTGCAGGCATCGGGCGAATCACCGAAGGTTTGCTCCTCCGCCGTTGCACCATCGTCGACTTGCTTGAACCCTGTTCCCAACTCTTGGAGGAAGCACAACGTCGCCTAGGAGCTCTTTCAAACAAGAGCTTTGGTTCAGCTCGGAACTTCCTGGAACTATCGCTTCAAGACGTGGGCGAACTCCCTGATCACTACGACCTCATTTGGGTGCAGTGGGTCCTGCTGTACCTGACGGATGCTGATGTTGTCGACACCCTGCAGCGTCTTCGCCGTTCCCTCAGCCCCCGTGGCTTCCTCGTCGTGAAGGAGAACTGCTTGCTGAACAATTCTCCGGGGTGACCTGACTCTTTCAGTGACGTGTAGCAGGAAGAGTTTTTAGAGGGCTTGAGGCTAGAGACTTCCTTTCAGTTACGTGGGTGTCCCACGAACCTTTGAGGCTGGTGGACCAGCGGGATGCGTCCATCACGCGATCTGGCAGGTGCATGAGGGATCTGTTCGCCCAAGCAGGCCTGAAGCTTGTCGCAGAGGAGACACAGAAGGACTGGCCCATGAACCTTCTCCCTGTCATCATGTTCGCGTTGAGATGAGGGGCACGGGGCACTCACCCTGCAAGCCGTCGGATTTCTGGAGGCCTGAACGGCAAGAAGACATGTTCTTGCAAGGATGCAGAGCATGTGCCATGACAGAAGGAGGGTAAGCGAGACGTCTCGAAGTGAAAAAAGGCGAAATGTGCCACGGCATGCAGCCGGCTGCGATCCAGCTTTGCAAGACCTGTGATACCCACCTCAGCAGGTCAGCTTTGCTGCGTCAGCTCTCCGATCCCCTGGCTGTTTGCACAGGCCAGAGTTGCAGCACGTGCTGCTGACACGGTACGTAACCGCCACCTGTGAATCAGATCGAGCGTGATTTTCGGAAAGGTTCTATCAAACGATGCGTTGTTTGCAGCTGCCGTGCGTTTGCAGCTGTTGCCTGTGGTTTCGCAGGGTACAAGTTGCAACTGGTCTCACGGCCAATCTGATTTCTCTTTCAGCGGCTGTTCGGGTGCGAGGATTGCATCAAAACTTGCATGTCTTGTGACTCCATTCAGCGACACTTTCACAGCTTGCAGTTTGTCACACAAAGCTGCCGACACAAGAGTTGCGAGGAATCGCTGGTACAGCGTTAAGTAAACGATTTGTGCGCTGTTACAGTGTGAGAATACAAAGACCTGCGTAGCGGCGTTTGAGACGACGCATTGGCCGCTGAGCTGCATCAACCCGTGCCGCCCCGGCCCCGCGCAGTATGCACAGGGATGGCGGTCTTGCGGCGAAGTCAGGATGGCACGATCCGAACAATTTCTGCACACGTCCCATGCGAAGTGAGAGACGAGGAAGTGTTGGTACTGGCTCTTTTTCTGCACTTTTTGTTGATGATTGAAATTAGATAAGGCAGCGGGTCAAAACCTTCTGCTTTGTAACAGGGCCGGGGCGCCCCTCGCACGACTTAAATAGAGCCGTAGTCTCTTGAATCCTGCGACCTATGTTGCCGACACTTGATGCCGGATAGATCTGCACATTACGCAAGAACAGATCGTCAAACCCTTCGTGCTCGTGGTATTGCTTCGTGATGCTCTGATGATTACCATTGCTCATTTCTGCCGCAGCGATTTCTGCCCAACTTACTTGTCATTCAGAGCAGACGACATTGCGTGCAGATGCATGGTGAAGTATATGTAAGAGAAGGAGTCCGCCCATTGCCGCTCCAGGACCTTTGTGGTAGCACTGCAGCGTCCCACTAGGTCACTAAGAATGGGAAGCCCGGGCCCCAAGTACTACCGGCTGGACTTGGCCAAGCTAGAGAACCTGTTCAGACCAGATGTGCCATTCTCGGCGCCTTGACTGAGAGACGTCATTTTGATTTCCTACGAGAGCGCGGAACATACAGTACCGTTCCCCTCTGAGGAGTGGTGTGTGCACTGCCAGAGCGCTGGCCCGGATGGTTTTCCCAGCGGCTCTCTGCGTTCACGTTCGGCTCCGCCCTTGTCGCGATTGGCGCACTTCGAGAGAATTTGCGGCACGCCGCTTGGAAGCTGCAGAGACTTTTCCCCCAACGCTCGACTACCTCTCAGTCATGACCCGAGAAACTCGATGACAGTCGGTGCAGGCTCCTGTACATCAATATCAGCGGCGCGGCCGGTGTTTGGCTGGTGCTTGCGCTGCTGGCTTATGCGCGTGGTTGGCCTCGCTGCGCGCGACTGCTGATCCTTTACACCTTGTTTCCCTTTGCTTCGTGGGCTCTGCTCTGTCGGATCTTTAAAAGATCCAGGGACGCACGTTATGATTTTCCCTACAGGCATCCCGGGCTCTTGTCCATCTTGCTTGTGACCGTACACGCTCGGCAGATCTGATGCACAGTTGCAGGCACCAGCACAGCTACTTGCACATGAAGTATGTGTGGCCATCTGAGTTACACCCGACGACGAGAAAGGTCAAGGGTCCTCTGAGCTCAGTGCAGCAGTTCAGCAACTTTTCATCCACGTTAGGTGTGCCTTTCAGAACATTCACTTGGAAGGCCACTCCAATTACATTCTTCAGAGCTTGCCGCTCTAATTGCCAAGGATCTTTTGTATCGTTCCCCACGGCGTTCTGCCCTTTGGCATCGATTACGCCATGATCGACAAGCTTGGTGGTACTCGATGCAACTGGGTGGCGGCTCCGATTTTGTTCAAGCTGCCCTTCATCCGATGGTACCTGAAACGAGCCGGCGTCATGCCGGCTAAGGCACAGCACATTCGAAGCACATTGGCAGGTGGTTCTGAGAATGTTGGGGTGGTTCTGGATGGAGTTGCGGGCATCTTCCAGCCGAAGACGGAGAAGCAGGAAGCGGCGTGGCTTCTAGAGCGCAAGGGTATCGTCAAGATGGCACTGGAGACTGGTGCTTCCCTCGTGCCCATCTACGGCTTTGGTCACACGTCCCTCCTGAGCCCAATCCTGGCTCTTCGGTTTGCAGAAGAAATTTCAGATCATGCTGGCCAAATGCAGAGCATGATGTAAGGATCCTTTCCGCATCTTGGAGCGCATCTCCATCGCCTTGGATGTGTCGCTAGTGCTCCCCTCAGTCTTGCACAAGTCTGACCCGCTTGTTATACTGAACACGTGGAAGGATTCCGGTTCATCTAGAGAGGTGCCTTTCGTCGGCCGTTGGGGCTGGCCGATGGGCCCTGCCCGGCGCATACCCGTGGTGATGGCGGCTGGCCAACCGGTGGAATGCCCGCAGACGCAGCTTGACAAGCATTATGCTTTGTGTATACGAGCATCATGCTGCAAACCTCACTCATCCAGGACCGTGTTTGCTGAGCCTGCCGTGTCATCAGGAGCCAGCCCAAACAGAGCGAGATTGACTTGTACCACACACTCCTCCTGGACAGCTTTAAGGACACATTCAACACGCACAAAGCTGCATACGGATGGTCCCAGAAGTCTTTGATGATCGTTTGAGGTTCCAGACGCGAGGTGAAAAGGGTGCTTTCTTGCCTTGCTCTGTGCAATCGATTTATCGTTTGAAAGAGGGCAGTGAGGCGAAACGGCAAAATGGCTGTCCAAAGCTGCACCGGATTTGATGGTAGTGGGGCTGTTGATCTTATGTTCTGGCAGGTTCTGTGCCAGCTTGGTGCGCGAAGCTGGCAGGAGAGCAGGGGAGAGTGCTTTGCGAAAGCTGGGCTCTGAAGCATGACGATGCTTCGAGGAGCCTGCCGATTCCTCTTCCCTTACTCCGTGCGGAGGCGGGGGAGCCGGGGAGCCTCTGCCTCTGCTTTCACGGCGACCTCTGAGTCTGACAAAGCGATGGAAGGATCCTGCACCATAGCTGCAATCTTGGCCTCGGCCGAGCCCTGCATCACGTGCAGCAGCGAGCGGTGGAACGGTCCCCAGATCCCAATCGAGCAGAGAGTCGCCTGTTGCGGCGTGGAGTGAAGGCTCCGCTATCTCTTTCTGCGAGGCCCAGCACGCACACAACCAGGAGACACACCGGCGGTAGTGGCCTCGGCCACCACGAACGGCATGCCAGCTGCTTCGCGGCTCAGCTCGTGAGGCTAGAAAGCGAGGTGAGCGTTGCTAGTGTGCCCCGCCAGAAGGCTGGCAGAAAGCACGTTTGTATCGATGCCTACGTCGATGTTGCATATCTACCCAGCCAGCTGCATGAAGCTTGTGTACGGACGGTTATTATTATTAGAGCCGATTCAGTCTAATTACATTGTTTGTATCATCAGAATATGTCAAACAATCGTACGCAACAGACTGTGAGTGTTCATCTGTCGCTCTCTCTCTGTCTCTCTCTCTTTCTTTTTGTCTCTCTGTCTCTGCGTCTCTCTGTCTCTGTGTCTCTCTGTTCCTTTGCTGTCTCTCTCTCTCTCTCTTATATCTCTTGTACGCCGCATACTTCATTACATCTGGTGTATATATACACATGTTGCACCCATGTACACTGCATTGTTCTACAACCTGCTGTATGACATACATGTCCATTGCCAGGTGCGGATCTCTCGGCAAAGGCTCCTGGACAGTGCCGTGCGGCCCTCGAAAGCCCTGTGCACTGTCAGTGCCATGGAGGGCGGAGCTGTCGAAGAAGTGTAGGGTTTGTATTGTTTTCCGGCTGTCAATGCTTATACACTCCTTTCGGCTTTTGCGACAAGTTTGACCCTGCGTGCTACAGGTCAAAGTCATGAACCTGTATTCTGCCGGGAACGCCCTGCCTGGGGCCAAGAGAGGGGAGCGACTTTGCGGGCTCAGCCAGAGAAGGTGGTACGCTGCTCCCAATTCAGCAGTAAGCACCAGAACTTGTTGGACGCCCATGGCTGAGGTTGGAGATCGAGTATGCCGGGGAGGCTGTGCACCCGGGAAATTCACATCCTGTCGCGTCTCCAGCAGACACTTGTCCGGAAGCAGACCGCAAAGACATCAAGCCGCGAGAAACAGCTGCACGTTTGGGAATGGAAGAGATTGTTTCAGTCATCAGTCGGCATTTGGGGACGCCCCTCTGCAGACGGTCCAAGCCAAATCACACATTGCACCGCTGCAAAGAACCAGCGGACACAGCATGAGGCATCTTGATATCTTTTGCCGGATCACGCTAATCTGGCGCCGTGTCAAAACTGAACACAGCTCGTACTTGCAGCCTTCCTAGTGCGCCGCTAGGCAATGCTACGCATGTGAAGGTCTGTCAGTCTGCACCTTGGCTTCGGCAGGTGGGCACCGGCTCGGGCCCGACATTGGAGTTCTACGCTCTTGTGGCCGAGAATTTGAGGAGAGGGCTTGGGAGGGCTTGGGAGGGCTTGGGCCAAAACATATCAAGCTGAAGGGGTATTCAGGCGCTGCAAGTAGTTGAGTGTGCGGTGGTGTTTGGTGATTATAGTGATGTTTCTTTTGATCGGAGGCCACTGTTAGTGTCAAAGGTGGTCGTTCTGTCTGCAAGCCTAGGACTCTACAGCCGCAGCTCTTCCGAGCTAGTACACCTGGGGGCATGTCGCATGGCGGCAATGTTTCCGGTTGGGCAACGCAATGCCTGAGATCTACAGTAGGCGATGCGCTTCAGCCCGGAGGCTGTACCCGCAGCCTTATGACCCTCACTGGCTTCGCAGAGCTGACGAGCAGGCTTTGTCCATCTTTGGAAATCTCTAGCACGTGGCATGAGTTTTTTTCTGGCATTCAAAGCTTCTTCCGAGCCTTGTGAATTGTGGCGAAGAGCGTGCGCTTGCCAGGGCTCTCAACAGATCCTGGAGCGCTTCAGGCGAGATGGCGATGTGTGAGCATGGACAAATCTTTGCAGCTCTTGGTCTTGCGGCAGGCTGTTGGGCCAGGTTGTGGCAAAATGCATCATCGACAATCGGCTCGTGGACATCCAGTCTGCATCTTTGCGGGTGTGTCAGAACTCCTGAAGCCACAGCAAAGCCCCATCGTCTCGCCCAGGCTGCATCCTGCATTCTGGCGGTCTGTGCTGGGTCGCTTCCCGAGATTCAACTCTTCCAAGTTACTTGTCAGGGCCGGTTCCATGATTGACTTGCGGTAGCCAGATTTCTCAGGAAGTGCGCCCCTGTCGCAGCAATGGCTGCGGTCCGTTGATCCGGAGGCTTGGCACTAACGAAATCAGAGCAAAAAACCAGGGTGATGCAAAGCATTCTCTTCCCTTGTTTGGCCGGGCAGCTTGGAAAATCGCGTTTCCAGTCCTTCACAAAAGCGCTGTTGTGAGGATTGTGAGGCATGCAGATTTCTCCGCAAGTCATGTCAAGTAGTCAACCTTTCTTGTGCGACACCCTTGTTGAACCCAAGATGGCAAGAAAAGCTTGCAAGAATCAGCAGAAGACAGGGCAGGTGTGTGCACAAAGACGGTTATCCCCACGACCTGTCCTGTCAGTTGCATTCTTCGCTGGAGAACATTCGCGACATGGATGCTGACAAGCTCGAGGGGCTGTGCATCGACTTCACCATGCCAGGCCCGAGAGAGGGACTGAGAGCGACAGATAGGGGGGGTGAGCAAGCTCTGCAAACCCCTGCGAAGCGGGCTCGCCCCTGCGGTGCTCGAGGCTGAGCACGCTGGAGAGAGGGGCACAGAGGGAAGTAAGCTTGAGTAATCGAAGATCATCTTTGCTTGTCACCAGGTCCATGGCTAGGTGACAAAAACCAACCCCACACAGGTTTTCAGCCTAGCCTTCAGGCGGGTCGGGGGTGTCAGGTTAGGAAGGATATTGGTGAGCGACCTTACGGCCCCTCTGACGGCAACGAGTCCAAGCGGGTTTCGCTTCTTCCTGGTGTCGGCAGGCCACCCCAGCATCGAGCTCAAGCCAGGAGGAGCTGGATACAGTCTGAACGGCGGCAGCCCTACGGACCCCTCTGCCTTCACGTCGTGTTTTGTTGCTGGCTTAATTTGGTTTCGATGCCAGGCTCCAATCGCGAGGAATACCTTCGCCGTGTTGCGGAGGCGAACAAGTCTGACTACAGCCCGTTGGGGAGTCGATGAGTGTTTTTCTGATCCGCGTTATGTCACATTCCTGGGAGGTGGCACTGGTCGAGGCTGTCGCGCCTCAGATCAACGCCTTCCGAACAGTGGATCTGTCTTGATTATGATTGCTTATCGATGGCTTCTGTTCGAAGGTCTCAGGCATGTTCGGTCTGGCTCTTCCTCTCATGCTGGATTTGTCTGTTCCACGTGCGCCCTTAAACTGGCCGTGTACTGTCATGCCACCGGTGTGCCGTCGTCGGAGCAGATGTTAGCACCAGCATTTTGGCACAGCCTCGTTTGCGTTTGCACCTGTGCTTGCTGGCAAACCGGGATAGACGCCGCCCATTTTGTCGAAATACTCGTTTTCTGACAGACACTTTGGCCGGGTGGAAGCATCTGAAAGTCTGAAAGTGCCAGGCTTTCAAGGAGCTTCTCCCCTTGGAGACGTGCCGCATCTGGTCCGAACAGGAGTGTTTGAGTGCTTCTTGATTCTTCACATCGAAAGTGTCCCCGTGACACGAGCCCTGCCAGGAGCTCTCCTTCATCATCGTCGGCTCGTCTGTTCAGGACGATGCGTTCTGGTGCCTGGACCATCTTGCAGCGAACATCAAGGCCATTTTCGGCTTTAACGGTATTCCAGAAAAGGTAGCTCTTTTGATGTGCGCCTTGTGGGGCCAGGCACATCACGGCTACACAACCGACTCAAGGCAGGCTGCACTAGAAGCCCGGATCTCGCGGGCCCGGGATGTGCTCAGCTGGCACAGGTGCTTTAAAGACTTGATGAACTTCCTTTCCGAGTTGTCAGCTGAAAACAGGCTGGCTGCAGCTGGGTTGAGTCGGTGTTTCATGGGGATGCTGTCAACATGGCAACTTCTGCTGACGTCGCAGCTGGCCCTGAGGCGAAACTTCCTAATGTTTGCAACCGGTGGAAGCCCTGGTGTGCTTTTAATGGCCTGTCCCTCTTCGCAAAGACGGAGCGAGCCTGTGTTAAGGTGCACCCACGCTGCCCATCGGCGGCTTCGGTGGCCTGAAGCCGCCCTTGACTGTTGTCAAGAAGGACCACTGTTGCGAGGGTGCTGCAGGGAAGTATAACATCTTCTGTCTGGGCCTGGGAGGAAGCGCCATCTGCTCCACTCACGTGCCTGCGGCGTTTTTTTTTGTCGCAAGAGCTCGCAAGACGCGAGCCGAGATGAGCATCTGCATGGCCATGCCAGGGCAGACGACTTCATGCCCTCGGTCATGACGTGTGCAAACTACCTGAAGCTGCCTGAGTGCCCTGCCTGGGAGCTGAACACTTGCGGCAGCATCTTGCCGCGCTGCCTAGACGTGAGAGGTACAGCTCAGCTGAGATGCTGAAGCAAAAGCTACAGCTGGCCATGCGGGAGGGGTGCCTGACCTAACTTGTTCGACAAAGCTTCGCCTCTGCCTTGGGACCGTGTGCCTCCTTGAGGCAGTGTGCCTTCCTGCTCTCCTAGAAGGTCGAAGAAGTTGTTGCCCCAGTACAAAGCATCGCCTTTCCCATCTCGGGATCGGTTTACAGTGAATGGACAAGTTGTGGGATTCTGGTGACACCAAGGTGAATTGAAGGCGGATACGTGAATTTCGCTGCACTGGAATTTGCACTGGCGACGCTTAGCTTAGGCTTAGACAGGGCCCTCCTCTGCTGGAGGCCCTAGATCCTAGAAGTCCGACGTTTAGAGGACCACCTCCGAAAACCAAAGCGGGCAGAAGGCTCGCTTTCGGAAGTGCGGGGCTCGCGAGGAAGGACCAAAGCGCACAGGTCCGCTCACTTTACACGTTGAGCCTTTTCCTTTCAATCGCGAGCGGAAACCAAGCGCACTGTCCCGAATCTCAGCAACCCCGCAACGTTCCGAGCAGGCGAGTCAAGTGAAGCCAAGGTCGGACGGAGAAAAGAAGGCGTTGCCCACGCATGTCGCACGAATCCTGCGCTTGATGCATGCAACGCTGAGTGCTAAAGCATGAGGAGGAATCCGTGCGTGTTGATGTGGATGCTGTCAGCTTTTGCTACTCGCAGAATTCGTGACTGGGCGTCGTCTTTCCTTGTTGTTGCAGTGCCAGCGCCATGACTCATGATGGCATACGACGGCGACACCAGCAACACACTTCAACGCGTTACATCGCTCACTGCTGCCCAGGCAAAGGCCACGAAGTGGATGTGTGCTCTCCTTTTGTCAAAGGCCGAGATGGACGGTGCCCTGGAGCCCGATTTGATGCTGGTCACCTCGCGGTTGAGTGCACTGGAAAAGGGTTCAGCATGGCGAACTGCTGCGAAAACATTCGGAGTCCTTCAGACAAACACTGGGCTGCGGCCAGGAGTTTTTGCACTCAACTCCGTACTGAGTGCCTTCGCCAATGCCGCTGCATGGACTCGCGCTCTTGGTCTCATAGCCACATGGCGAGATCGCGCGGATCTCGTCAGTTGCAACGCAGTCCTGACTGCTTTGAGCAGGTGCTCGCGATGGGCAGTCCTGAGCAGGGAGAGCTGGCAGCATCACCATCTGGGAGCCGTGCAAACCTCCTTGGACGGCTTGCTTCGCTGCAACAACGTGGCTGCAGCAGCATGTGGCAAAGGAGGCCGCTGGGAGACGACGCTATTCATCATCTCAACACTGGGCAGGCAGGCTGTCAAGGCCGATGCAGTCTCTTTGAGGACGGCTGTCAGTGCATTTGAGCGAGGCATGTGTTGGAGCCGGGCAGTCAGCACAATACGGTCTCAGACGATCGGAGTGGCAGGAATCAACTCTGCGATTTCAGCATGCAGGAATGCAAAGGCATGGAAGGACTCACTGCAGCTAATCAACGAGATCTGGCATTGTAACCTGCGCCCCACGCTGGTGTCGTGGGGCGCAGTGGCTGGAGCTTGCCATGGAATCTGGGCTACCTGCTTCGGCCTGCTGCGGCAAGGGGGAGCTTCCGACGTGTCGGTGGGAACCGCATCCGAGGCATGTTCAGCTGGTGGAGCGTGGACGCTGGCACTCGCACTGCTCGCAGAGGGCCGGATGCTTTCGCTGCAGTTGGACGCCATGACCTGGGATGGCTTGCTCTCAGCTTTCTCCGTGCGCAGCCTCTGGGGCCAGGCACTCGCGGTGCTGGAGCCGAAGAGCGCTTCTGGGCTGAGCATCGTGGCCTTGGAAGCTGCCGTGTCGGCGCTCGCATCAGCGCCGGGACCGACGGGCCAGGGAGTCAAAGCGATGCCGAAGGCTCTGTCCCTGGCCCGAGCGGAGGCGAAGCGAAGCCTGCGAAGCCTGCGCAGCCGAAGCCGGCCTGCCGCGACGTCATCCAGGCCCTGCTGTGTTGCTGGTGCGACTTGGGTTGCTCATGGCCATGGTTGTCTGACGCGATGCGTGGCACTAGGCTTCGAGATACTTCGAGCAGACATGCGCTTCCGATGTGCAAGGTTCAGGGTTTCTTTAGAGACAGGCTTGGCACGTGCTCTAGGTGAGAGCGATAGCGAATGTACTGGTACTGTTTGGTGACATTGTCTCTACATGGCTCTTGCTGCTTCTCGCCATGGGTGCAGCGGCGTCTGCGGCGCGGAACTTTGTGGCCGCTTGGACGGCCACAATCCGCGAGCTCAGGCTTTTCAAAGCCTAGATGAGAAGCCAAGCTTGCATTTTTCCTCACACTGCTGCATGTCAGGTGCCAATTCTGCCTTTGTACGACTACCTGGTTTAGTTGTAGACTGCTCTAAACCATGTAATCGATGTGGCAGCTAAGTCGCCGGGCATCGAAGGCACCTGCTGCGCTGTCTTGTGGACCGTATGATGCAAATTGAGATGGCTCTGTGATCAAGCTTGTGCTGTAGATTGTCTGAGATGTTTTGGGTACAGCTGACACTGAAAGCAACTCGCCTGAAGACTGCTCGCCAGATGCCGATGGACTGGACGTTGGCCAGTTGGATGACCATTGGAAAAACTACGCCCACCGGCGAATCCATGCCGAGCACCTTGTTGAAATGGGTCAGATCAGATCCGACAGCTTCTGCTTGCCGTTGAAGATCCGAGACATCTGAGACACTGAGGCTTCCAGCCCGTCCAAAACGATCCAAACCGAAGGTGGACATCCACATGTGCTTGGAAGCGGCCACGCTGCTGAAGCCGAGCATGGGATTGTCACGGAACCCGACACACTGCCAGCGTGTAGCCCCTCCTCCTCCTAGCCCCCTCCTGAAGCGCAAGGCTTCCTCATCCAGTTGGTTTGTGAGGGATGACATGCCGACCCAGTACTACCTCAGTGGCTCGGACTGGCTTGATCAGCATATCCTTTCCGACTCGTTGTTGAGAAGCACCAGCATCGACGAGTTTATATGAGGGTACACAAGCTGTTCAGAGTTGCTTCTACTTGCATTGCGGAGCGAGCTTTGCGACTGTCGTTCAGCACAGTGTGAGGTTTTTATGACAAGGAACACAGCATGCAAGGAGCACTGTATCATTCACATTCGCTTACCAGCGTCAGCTTGCATTACCGCCCGTCCCCCAACTTTTCTTCCTTTGCACTCTCGTCTTTTTGATTCGGATAAGCCCTAAACCCTACCAAGCCAAGATCTCAGGTGCCTACCCGCCAAAGGATCCGCGCCCGGAGATGCTGCGGAAAACGCCTCTCAGCCCTCCTTGCACACCAAAGTTCATTCTGCCGCCGGAAGACGTGCCTGAGATGTCCTTTGGCAGCAGATTAAGTCCATTAAGAACGGCAGCTCAGCTTCCGCCAAGTTCTGATTCGTTTTAGATAGCATTTGTGCCGTGCCTTGTTCAAGTCTGCCGCCTACTCGGCATGTGTGAGTGTGAGTGCGATATTGCGAGCTGAAGATCGCATCTGTTTCGCTAGTATCATTAGTAACTACTCCAGATGTTTGATCTTGCGTTTTTGGCGTGCTAGCGTTGCAGTTGAAACTATAGACTCGCAGTCTCACTTTCTTTGCATCCGTACCACCGTTTGCACATGATTGGGTTTTTCGCTGGAGTGTTGCCGATCTTCATGAGTCACGGGGTTTGGTGTTAAGGATGGCCGGCAGCGGTAGGAGGGGAGCGGAGAGCCATTTGGATTTGCGTTGAAAGTTCTGTGGCATCAAGGAAGCTATACATTGCCGAGAAAGGGCTGAAGGACTTCTCTCACCACGACGTCCATGCAGCCTGGTTCGGTGCCCAGAAGTTCGAGCAGCCGAGCTCCGAAGGGGTGTGGTGGGGTCTTGCATTGTGACATTCGCTCAGGATGTTGGATTTACCTGAACGTCCATCGACGACCTGTTCTTGGGCGTCGCATGAGGAGGCAGCTGCAATGAGAACGAACAAGCGATTGAAGGAGTCCCGTTTCACACTTCCTGGACAAATCGACGATGTGCTATCTTAGCCGATGCATTTTCGAGAATGCAGGATGCGTTGGCACCTGCTGTCAGTTTGTGCAGTTATGGTTTCAATCCTCGTGTCCATGTTTCCCTTTGGGGAACAGCTGGCCGCCGAAGGCGGTCAAGTAATGGGCAGCTTTGCTTCAAGACCCGTAGAACTTAGAACTCTTGCTGGCTGGGCTAGCAGGAGCACTGATGGCAGAGGCCGTCCTGGTGCCAATGGCATATGCAAGCTTCGACCAAAAGGTGATGTGAACATTTGCTTCGCGGCCAGGTTGTCAAAGTCGATCGAAATTTGGTCTGACCAGACCCAAAGCCCCATTATAGTTATCAAGTCCCCTAAATTACTGTCGGAACCCTGACCCCAACAATAACGCAGAACACTACATAGTCATAGTCTCATGACGCCAGTGTAGATTCCCAAACAGTGATAGTCGTAGATCTGCACGACGACCATCGCGATCGCGACGACTACGACTTCAGGACCATCAGCACTTATCACTGCCAAAATGGTTTTCTCCGTCATCTGCTGCGGGATTCAGACATACCACCACCCTCCTTCCCCCGCGCCGGCATGAAATGTTTGCCCCAAGTATTGCCAGTTTATTGGAAACGTGTTTCAGAGCATGTGGGCACAAAGCATGAGTTGCGCCACAGTGCGATGGAACCTCCCTGTGTTTGGGGAACTGTACGGACCCCCCGAAGAAGACACCCCCGATTTTCTGACCATTTCTGACCCAATTTTGGACCCAGTCAGGGTCTCAGTTCCTGAGACATCGACGCTCTCGAGGCACCGAAGAATCTGCAGCATTATTGGGTCGCAAGCCCTTGAGTTCCAGTTCGCGTCCATTTCTTCAGGTTCTTTTTTTTGGCTAAAAGTTCTCGGTCTCGGACATGTGCAGGAAACTAATCAGTGCACAGCATCTTCTGCAGTGATGGTATCAGAAGCATCAGGGAGGGAGCAATGACGACATCAATGTGCAGACTGTTTGCCGGTGAAGACTATTTGCTTTGAGCTGCGCTGCTGGACTCTTATGTCGCTGGTGCAATAGTCAAAAGTCATTCTCATCGCAATTATAATCAACATCGGTATCAGCATCACCAACAACATCGGCATCATCATAGCTCGCGCTGCAGGTGCGCTTGCAAACAAAGCTCTGTCACACAGCTCGTATGCGAGACGCAGCCACCTTGGCGGGTCGTTGTCATCGTTGTCGGTAAGGACATCTTGTAAGATCTCTGCAACATCAACTCACATACACATGTCAACCAAGATGTGTCGTCAGAGACTCCACCTCTGCGCGCAGGTATTGCCAGAAGCCGTGAAGAACTTGGCCTCGCGTCTTGCCGAGGCTGGGTCAGCGGCTTTCAAGTACGACAGTTGGTGGCGTGATTATGGTTACGCTGTTGTAGACTCTACTGTACCACTTTGACGGTATTGTAGGCATATTGCCACATGTGATGTCATGGACTGGCAGTCTTAACATGTTGTCATTCGCTCTTGTGTTGGCTGGCTCTTCATCTTCCGGAATCTCCTGCTACTGGGTGTGCACCTGGCGCTGTACTTTGCTTTAAGGTGTTGGGGGTCCGGGTGGTTCTGGTCATGCTGGCACTGTTGAGATCTGGCGCTGCGATGCTGTCTCGTCGTCGAGTCAGGTAAACTGCCCTGATGCTCCGCAAGCTGAGGGTGCTCGCATGGCATTGTGATGGTACTTTGGAGCATACTCCCTGTGCACGTAGCCAATTTGACTGGGCGATGAAAAGAGATCCTCATGCTCTGAAATTGACAGCCTGTAAACCTAGCGGCCAGGGCCGCAGACACATTCCTGGGTCACTGCTTCCACGAAGGATCAAGCAGGATCAAATCCTGAGCCACGAGGTAGAAAAAAAAGTGTGTATATGTAAGTACAAAAATGTTTGTCTGGCGGTGAAGGAGGTCCTGCCCCACAAGTCCGCAAGCGGTTTTGGCACACTCGACTCTTCTTTTCATCAAGTCGGCTCAAGCAGTTGGTAGGGCTTGGGGTGGAAGCCGATCCTTTAGGGATGTCCTTTACATCGCAGGCGGGCCTTTGGAAGGTAGCCGACACACTGTATGTGAAGAGCCTTCTGATTGCGGCTGAACGGCTGTGCAGATTGTTGTGGACTGCCGCGGGCATTTGCTGGGTCGTGACGTGCCCAGAGTTTTGAGAACTGTCGCAGCATTCTTTCAACGAGCGGGGCTGCGTGGGGCCAGCAGACCCTGAAAGTCTTATCCTGAGGCCTGGCATCTGTGCTGGCCAAGGAGCTGCTGAATGGACAGCCGGGGCCCCAACGTTGTCACCGCACTGACGCGTCACTGCACTGACGCGTGCACCCAGTGACGCCGGTGGTTGTACTGTACTAGAGTCTGGAGGCACGTCGTGTGCGTCCGTTCCGAAGACGTCAACATCTCTGGCTCCCTCTATCGCAACAAGCTGAAGTACGCGGCCTTCAAGAGGAAGCACATGCGCCTTGACTCCTTGGTCTTAGATGCCCAAGTAGAAACAGCCTAGTCAAGACTACCGAGGAACTCCAACCCTCGACAGGGGCCTTTCCACTACCGAGCACCCTCTAAGATCCTTTGGCGCACCATCCGTGGAATGGAGCCTTGGACCGGACCAGTCTGCGACGAGCTTTGGGGCCACGGTGCCACGGCCCAAGCTCAGGTTCCCCACAAGACCGCCCGCGGCGCAGCCGCCCTGGACAGGTCTCGGATATTGGGAGCTTTCATCAGGATCGGCTGCGTCTCTCCTAGTCCTAGACTCCTGAAAGGCTGAAGACCTTCGAGGGCATCCCTCACCCCTACGATCGCAAGAAGCGACCCTTGGCTCAAGTCGGCCCTCCTTTGTGTACATGTGTGCATGGCAGCCAGCATGGTTGTAGTCTCCACTCTCCCAGGAATGGTGGCAGACACCTCAGTTGGCCGTGGGCCGTGTTGCCCTAGAGCTCGTGTTGTCTGAGTCTGACCTGGCTGTTCTGTCCTGGTGCTGGTCGCATGAGGTCCCCAGCTGCCTGAAAGTCCTCCGCCTGCGCCCCGAGCGACGCTTCTGCCGCCTCGGCGACCTCTCCAAGGAGGCAGGAGGATGAGCAGGTTTTCGGAGAAGCTCTTGAGTGTGCTGGTGTTCTTGCGTGATCGATTGCTGTGGCCATCTCATCTGACGCTCATAGCACATGGTTCGAGCAGGTGGGCTGGAAGCACGGGGCCCTGATCGAGCGCCTGGAGTCACAGCGAAAGGCCAGGAGACACGCAGACACGCCGCCTTCGCAGGCACGGTGGTACGCACCGGCGCAGGTGAAGAGCGAGGCATTCCACAAGAAGAAGACAGCCACGCTGAGAGCCAAGAACGAGGACGGGGATCAGCGCAGTCTAGGAGTCTGGGTCAGCTGTCAGCCGCAGTCAGTAGAAGCCCAGCAGGCGAAGAAGGCCGTGAAGCTTTCCGCAGACCAGATGAAGGCAATGCAAACGGACACGGACTCAATGCCCTTCTTCCGAGTCCAGGGATCTGCTGGCAGGCCCTGGAGGATGCAGGCTATGCGTGAGTGGCGCTCTCCTTTGAGGCGTTTGCTGCTTGAGGACTTGCGGAAATGGCCGAGCGGGTGCGAGAAAAGTGGCTTGTAGCAAACGGCTGCGGTTTCCTGAGCTGTGATCATTTGCGGCTTGGATTGGTTCTGTTGAGCAGTCCTTACTCGAGTCGGCTCAAGCAGTTGGTAGGGCTTGGGGTGGAAGCCGATCCTTTAGGGATGTCCTTTACATCGCAGGCGGGCCTTTGGAAGGTAGCCGACACACTGTATGTGAAGAGCCTTCTGATTGCGGCTGAACGGCTGTGCAGATTGTTGTGGACTGCCGCGGGCATTTGCTGGGTCGTGACGTGCCCAGAGTTTTGAGAACTGTCGCAGCATTCTTTCAACGAGCGGGGTTGCGTGGGGCCAGCAGACCCTGAAAGTCTTATCCTGAGGCCTGGCATCTGTGCTGGCCAAGGAGCTGCTGAATGGACAGCCGGGGCCCCAACGTTGTCACCGCACTGACGCGTCACTGCACTGACGCGTGCACCCAGTGACGCCGGTGGTTGTACTGTACTAGAGTCTGGAGGCACGTCGTGTGCGTCCGTTCCGAAGACGTCAACATCTCTGGCTCCCTCTATCGCAACAAGCTGAAGTACGCGGCCTTCAAGAGGAAGCACATGCGCCTTGACTCCTTGGTCTTAGATGCCCAAGTAGAAACAGCCTAGTCAAGACTACCGAGGAACTCCAACCCTCGACAGGGGCCTTTCCACTACCGAGCACCCTCTAAGATCCTTTGGCGCACCATCCGTGGAATGGAGCCTTGGACCGGACCAGTCTGCGACGAGCTTTGGGGCCACGGTGCCACGGCCCAAGCTCAGGTTCCCCACAAGACCGCCCGCGGCGCAGCCGCCCTGGACAGGTCTCGGATATTGGGAGCTTTCATCAGGATCGGCTGCGTCTCTCCTAGTCCTAGACTCCTGAAAGGCTGAAGACCTTCGAGGGCATCCCTCACCCCTACGATCGCAAGAAGCGACCCTTGGCTCAAGTCGGCCCTCCTTTGTGTACATGTGTGCATGGCAGCCAGCATGGTTGTAGTCTCCACTCTCCCAGGAATGGTGGCAGACACCTCAGTTGGCCGTGGGCCGTGTTGCCCTAGAGCTCGTGTTGTCTGAGTCTGACCTGGCTGTTCTGTCCTGGTGCTGGTCGCATGAGGTCCCCAGCTGCCTGAAAGTCCTCCGCCTGCGCCCCGAGCGACGCTTCTGCCGCCTCGGCGACCTCTCCAAGGAGGCGAACGCGCAAACAATACAAAGTGGAGTGTAGCGATGTGTAGCTTGGCAACACATCTTAATGTCACCACGATTCGAGGGTATGTGCACCTTTCGTGCAGGTTGGCTGGAAGCACGGCGCATTGATTGAACGCCTCGAGTCCCAGCGCAAGGCACGCAGGGTTGAAGCATCGCTCGAATTCTATGATGGAATAGATCGGCCTGCAAGTGCAGGTGAAGAGCGAAGCCTTCCACAAGAAGAAGACGGCGACCCTGAGGGCCAAGAACGAGGACGGATGCCTTGGAATGTGACAGGTACTCATTGAAAACAGGAACTTCCCTCACTCTGCTTCATCGCTGCCACGTTTGTGCATATCTCGCAGGCCAAGAAGGCTGTGAAGCTCTCTGCGGATGACATGAAGGCTCTGAGTTGCCGAAGACGAGGGTAAACCCAAGCTGCCACAGCCAGACATGCCCCGAAGGCGCTTGAGGATGCAGGCTACGCATGAGATCAAGTTGTAGTGTTCGAGCCTGGCATGACTGGTCCAATGGTGCGGGTGAGCAGAAATAGGTGTGCTGCGCGACACTTCTATCAGTTTTTTCTGCGCTCTCGCTCCTCTCTTTCTCCCTCCCTCCTAATATGCAGCAGACTTGCAGGTTTACATAAGCACTATTGCACAACTTTCAGCAACCGACTAAAAATTAATGCTGTTTTGGCTCCAGGAGGTAGTTGGGCCATGACACACGCGTGCCATTTCATCTCCGAACGTGTGGTTGTAGCAGAAGAACTCAATCTACTGTGCCCGCTGGTACTGTACCTAGCCTAGCCATGAACTTCCTCACGATGTTGGTTCAAGTATCTAGGAAGCGCAAGTACAGTAAGTTACTCCTTGAGCCAACTTCCGAATGCCTGACCAGTGGACGGCAGTTTTCCAGCTTTGCTGTCTTGCGCTGGCTGAGGCCGGTCTCCCGTTCTCTCAACTTCGAGCTTTCCTCAATGTCTCATGTCATACTGAGTGCCGTGTGTGGGCGCGAGGCTGCACCCGCGCGAATCGCCGTTTATGGTTCGTGTGCGGCACGTGCAGATGTGGATGCAGAAGCTTGGCTGAGTTGTCGGCCGGCTCGGAGATGATTGGCACAGGGTCCATCCATTGGGCTGCTGAGTCGGAAGTCGTGGTCCTCAATGGCTAAGGAGTACAATCTGCAGGGAGAGACTGCGAGCGGCGCCCCCCTGTACAAAGCGGTCGCAAGCGATCTCCACATCTACTTTGACCCCAGCTGTGACGGCACCACCACAGACTCGAGGCTTACCTCAGCCTGTTGCAACACAGGATGCTGCACTGACCGCTTCGTTTCAACAGGTGGATCATCAGCCACCTGTCTGGCACTCCGGACCGAAGTCTGGCTAATGACCTGGACGGGGATGCGGCGTGCAACTCCGTAGCATACATCTCTTCCACCTCGGCAGTCGAACCTCCACAGGGCTCCTGGGCTTTAACTCTACGCAAGCTTGTTTCAAGGCATGTTCGCTCTTCACAGGTTCTACCTGGACCATGGACTGTGGCGGCTCCACGCAAAGCGTGGAGTTGGCCATTGAGGAGGCAATGGCCTTGCGACAAGATCAGTTCCACGAAGCGAAGTCGTGTTCAGGTGGACAGAAGTGGGCAGCAGCCCCTTGTCAGAACACGAAAGACAGAAGGGCAGCCGACACACTTCAGACTTCTCCTTTCATGAAACCGCGCTCGGCGCTCTGTGAGACAAGGATCGCTCCGGCATTTTTCTGCGCGTACAGCTGCGAAGACAGAGGAAAGGTGCCGGTGTTCTGAAGTCGCAGTGCCAGAACGTTCTGCTTTGTGCGTCAACGAAGATGCAGGTGACACGCCCTGGTCGATGCTTTGAGAAGACGGTAGTCTTCTCGAACCTGTCTCAGCAACTTCCGAGAAGCTTCATGCATTACATCTGCTGTTGCAGCAATAAGGACTCGTGGCGTTAGCTGGATGCGACTTGCAACTCGCATGTCCGAAAGCCGGGCGGGCAAACACATTCTCTCAGAAGTTCGAGAGCAGATTCAGCATTTAGCCTTGGAAAGTAAGACTCACACTCCTGTTGGCGGCTCCTAAAGTTGTTAGCCCCAAAGCCTGAGCGAAGCTTTGGAAGGATTTGACGGTGAAGCTCGTTTCAGATGTTAGAGGGCAGAGTGCTTTAGAGACATCAACGCGCGGTGTGAGTCTCGCCTGTGCTTGCTCATGCCTTACCATCGCTTCGTTGGTGTTAGCAGGGTTCGCATGTGTTCGCTGTTCGTGTGTGAAGATTTCATGATCGAGTCTTTTAGACTGTGTCGCTGTGATCTTGGAGACAGTGAAATGGTAGAAGCATCCAAAGAATCCATCACACCAGAGAGGCCATGATGACCGAATCTCTTGCATTTTGTTGTGGTTCACAGAAACTTGGGGTCTGCAACGGCATGCTCGGTTCACCATCTGGTTTCGCGCACGCATACGCATTCGGTGACCGGGTCGAAACCGTGGTAAAGCAGATACCTGTAAAAGGAAAGGCCCAACAATGCTGTTTGCTGCATTCTTGCGCCTTTGCGCACGCGAGCCGAAGACATCGTCATGTAAGCATCGTAAACGAGGCTAGGGAAGGAGGAAGGTGGGGTTGCGCGCCTCGATATGTCAGATCGGTTAATTTGGCTGTGCTTCTCTGACCTGCTCTAAATTGGACTTCAACGTAAGTCTGCGTCGAATGATGTCTAGGTTTGTCACTGTTGCCATCGTCCTCCTGCCCTGCAGTTCCAGAGGGCGCGGGTGTGAACATTGTCCCGCTGACGGAGGAGCACTTGCACCGCCGCGAGCCCGTGCTCGTTCAGTGCTGCCTTGCATCATGTGTTGCACTAGGCTTGCTCGGCTTCGTACCGCATGTGCCTCACCACACCCCATTGACCCCAGCAGTTTTCTCCTTTAAGTGTGCGGCTACCTTTCTCACCCTCACTCTTACCTTCATCCTCACCCTCACGCTCACTCTCACTCCGCAGCCTCACTCTCACCCTCATTCTCGCGCTCACTCTCACCCTCACTATCACTCTCACTTTCTCGCAGTCTCACTCTCATCCTCACTCTCACGCTCACCCTCATCCTCGCCTTCACTCCAGCTTCACTCTAACCTGCACTCCTCACCGTCACTCCTCACTCCCCACTCCTCATCCTCACTGGCGGAGGAGTGGGCGACATACAGCGCAGGTGACATGACATGGGAAGGTCGAGAGCTGAGACAGGGTCGTCCTATGTGAATTCTGGCTGCGTGTCTGGCTCCATGGTTCAGGCTGGTTCTACGTGAAAGCAGCGCCTGCGGCTGGACGCTCCATGCTCATTGGCACCTTTGGGACGAACGATGCCGACAGTACCTTCAGCAACCAGAATCGGCGGCTCGATGGATCGGATCTAATCGGCCATCCCTGGACCCACGAAAATCTCGAGACTTAGGCGACGACACGGCGCCATATGGTTGGAGACCGACGGCACGCTCGGACTGAGCAGCAACACTGGCGAGTCGCTCGAGTTATTGGAGAGTCCTGACGTTTTGGTCATCTGCTGTCCTTTGTAGGCACTCAGAGCAGCCGAGGTCAAGTGGCTACATTCAGGGTCCCAACGTGATCGATGGCAAGCCTCATGCCTCCAAAGAGGATGCAGCAGGAAGCATTCAAGAGCTTTGCGATTGCTTCACTGTTGGATTTTTGTAACTAGCCAACGGAAATGTTTAGAATATTCTGCAGTGTATTGCAAACTCCTGCAAGCTGAAGGTGGCATCACGTCGCCGCGATCTGGAATCAGACAGCTGGCGGAGGTGCCCAACTCTACAAGAGCCACTCGCTTTGCAGAGTGTACGGAAGCCTCGGCCTTTCCAAGCATCGCTCAGTCCAGCGGCATCTTTCCAGGTTTCAAATTCTTGCACGTGCGCTATCTGACCATCGCTGGCGACTTGGGCTTTTGCTGAGATCTACTTTCTGTCTTTGTGCGGCTTAACTTTGGCCGTTTGATCAACTGTAGCAGGCAGAGCTGCGATTCTCGAAGACTTTATCATCAATCTGAAAGCAGCCATGGCTGTGGAGTCGAACACCACCTCGGATGACGTCTGGGTGTATCTCAGCGTCGCTCGGCTGGAAGGAGGCCCTGAGAGTTGAAGGTCCTCCAGGAGAGGCGCAGGAAGTGTGTGACTGTGTGATTATGCTTTGGTTTCTTTTCACTTTGATCTTCTGGCAGAGCCGAGGATGAGCAAGTCATCGGGAATGAAGGGCGCACCGCTGTGTCCATGGTTGTCCCTTGGCTTTGAACGCATCAAGCATTATAGCATTCTTGGCTTCAGGTCGGCGCTCAGACTGAGCGCATCGGCACCACTGCACTTGCTCGGCCGTCTCCTAGGTCAACGTGGAGAGGAAATCAGCTGACATCGCCTTGGCCCGTCTTGTCCGAAGCGACACCTTCGAGGCACGCAGCTCGATGGACTCTCAGCATGTGGGTTGTTGTGTTCCGGCAAAGCTCCTTCCATTGAAGTTTTCTAGGCTGAGGTGACCTGAGGTGTCTTCCAAAATGCCCTCTGGAATGGAAGGTCTGGTATGTGAGTCTCGTTTTGGGTAGGCGCCATCATGTAAAGGGGCCAGCTAAGGTATGATGAATGCGCTGAGGATAACGACGGACATCGCGAACTCCTACACAGGCTTGTTACCTGTGGAGAATAATCAGCTCATCTACGATAGCATCTTCCCGACGATGGCCTACGTTGGAAACGGGCGGCTCTTGGTAGATAGCATCGACTACGCTGGGCGTCTCACCTACTCGCCATTGGCAGATGCCGGGCTTATTGGGTTAGTGTTATGATTACAGATGGATCCAACCTTTCAATAAGAAGATTCAGTTGAAGCGCATTTCAAAGGAGAACATCGCTGACAACGGCCAATTCCTTGTGGGTGGCGGCCACCAGGGCCGTGCCGTGGAGTGCGAGCTGGCAAACGTGCGCTTGTGGACACAGTGGTGGCACATTATCACTGCAGAGCAGCTGTCTTTGTTTTTTTCCAGCCGCTGCTGCAGCTTCTTGTTCCGTCCTGAGCCCAGGAGCGTGGCGCTGACAGAGGCGACCAGAGAGCTGTTCACACTCGCACCGTTGGGAGGTTTGAACGTGCGGTGCGGTTTCGAGTTAGCACATGGGGTGTCGTGAGATGCACACAGAAGTGCTTCGATGACAAGAGGATGTGAGCACTGTTAGCTGTCTCATTGAGGTCGTGCCAAGCATGCTGTAGATTGAAACAAGATGCCCAAGAAGTAATTTCAGTCCAATCCTCAAAGAGCGACCGAGCAACGCTGTACCTCAGGAGCAGCTCCGCGCTGTGCAGGCGTGCTCGCTGCCAGAGCCAACCAGTTTCATCGGTGGTTCCTGGCCGCACAGCCGCTGGTCGACAGTCAACATGAGTCAACAGTCGACACTGAACAGTCCCGAAGGGGCCGTAAGATAGCAC